CAACTAACAGCTTATTTTTGAAAAAAACCCATTCAATTACATCTGAGGTGTGTCCATACATTGAAATCTTATTGCCCTGTCAAATTTTGAATTTGCCGTCAGTGTAGATCTGGTTTGAGAAATATTTATTAAGGAGTTGGCAGTCTTGCTACATTTCCTTCATAACGTTGACTTTATCTGGGTAGTAGCTGGTTATTATCAGTAAAATCGTGGCGATAGAGTGAAATTGCGGATGTGGTTTTCAATCATCTCACTCCCCTGTCAATCATAAGTCAAAACAATTAATTTTATCCTAAATGTACATTAGAATAAAGCGTTATCTGTCAGTAAATCCGAATAATTCAAATTCAACTTTTTTATACACAAAACAACCAATATGTCATTTTTCGTAAAAACTATCACTCCCCTGAAATTGAGCTTATGGGTTTATTAGGAAAATAACAGAAAAACATTTCTATGATGAACTTTTTTGAATTTTGAACTTTGAAGAGATAAGGACAAGGAGGATGATTGAACATTTTTTTCCTAAGTGTTCGTAAAATGTCAATACTGAAAATGATCATTTCTCGCGAAATGACCCAGATAAAATATTTTCTAACATAATCGTGTCGTGTATTTAATAACAATGTGCTTATAAAATAAATTAAATTTCGCTATTCCATTAAAGTAATTTAATGTCGGAGGGTTTTTTTTTAAACTTCTTCGGCTAGCAGAGCTATTTAATTAAAATGTACGTCACAGAGAACCCTAAAAACATGTTTGACAGATATATTATCACACGTGAAGCTTACATTAAATCATATTGCTATAACATTTAGTGTTTTTTTTATAAAGAAACGCTAAATAAAATTGAAATAACTCCAATTGTCTGTAATAGCGTTGCATTTAAATTAAAAGGCTACATCCGCTAAGCGCACATTTACCTAAAACACAACTCATTTGCGCACAAGACTATAAACAATAGAAATCCTATTTTCAGGTCAGTATAGTTGTTTACACACATTTCCAGGTAGACATAACACTAACATATTAACTTAAATAATTGACACAATTAATTGGTTAAAACATTACACTTATCAAACTCGTTAAACATTTTCCTTCAACTTTTAAAACGCTTAAGACTTTCTACTGGCATAATTATAATGTCATGAACAGGCAAGTTAAATAATGTTGGGCTTTTTTAAAATAATTATACAGTGTACTATCAATTAATAAATTCAAGTATGGGCTTTTTTTTAATACACTTTAACGTCAAAGCATGTTAAGTAGTGTTCAGCACTACATTAGCTTTGCAACTTTTTTTTTAGTTCAGCGGAGGTGCCATAAAAAAAAGTTTATCACTAACATTATTTTACAAAATATAATTAGGAACTCGTTAGAATATAGCGTCTATATCTAACTCGTTTACAGCGTAATATTTCATAGATTTAAGTTCAAGGCTTCTTAAGCAAATATAAGTACTAAATTTTAATTTATTTTAGCAGAAATCGAAGTATAGCTTTTGGCGGAAACGGACATTGTAATAACGGACGAGGGTCATTTTGGGGAAAGTGGAAACCGCCAGAAGATTATGTAGGGAAAATATGCCTAACCCGAAATAAAAATATAAGATAACAATTGTGCGTAAATGAGTCATCCTATAATCGGCAAAAATTTGATCATGTACGCAAAACGAGTTATCACCCATTGCAACCCATTCAGTATTTATTTTCAACTTCTAAGATCTAGTGCGTACCCTATATTTATGTTAAACCTAACCAAAATATTTCTTTATACATCAGAAACGTTGTGTAGTTAAAAATATATTTCACCTCGACATAAAGTCAAATAAGCTCTCTTTAAATATTTTTAAGTTTTGTTAGGATTGTTGCAATATACTGTCGAATACACACTTTAAAAAACACTTGCAAATAATAAAAATCTACACAGTCCCTAAAATTGTTAAAGCTGTCGAAGGGTCATTCCATATGAAACCAAGACAATCAATTTTGAATGTGCCATAGTGTTTTGTTTGTTTTTAAGAAAAAACACAAATTCAAATAATGATGATTTAGATTAGTCGTTTACACCAACATAACTGGTGTTAGGAACATCACAGTCTAATTAACGATTACAAACAATAATTGTCATTAGTAATCATAATGTTGGACTAATGTAGTTATCATTCGATAAAGTAATCATAATATGGTATATTCTTATTTATACTAAAGCTAACTTAAAATTTAAAATTCAAGCTAATTTATTTAAAAACCGTTATACTATTCTTAAAATAATGAGTTATAGCTCAAGTATTAGGGGGGCTTTGTTTCAATATATTTATATGATGATTAATGATTAGATGTGTAATATTTTCTTATTCTATCAGGTGAAACACTTGACTGACTTACTAATTAAAATGATTTGCTAAAAGCCTTTGAAGTAAATTCATAAAATAAAAGTTCGGTTAACACTTTTTATTACCTTAAAAATTTTTACTTTTTAAGACATTTTACATCTCAATTTATTTATAAATTGTCTACATCATCTTAAAGACATATACATTACCAAACAAGATAAAGAAAATACTCTATGCAAATATTAATTTCAACATATGCACTTCATACATCTATTATATACTTTTAATTACATTTACAATGACAATGCAGAACATGATTGGTATAATCGATAATCATTGACGGGTTTTAAAATAGCCACTTATATAAGTAATTTTACAACACTCTATTTAGTAGTTTATCACTATAGAAGTGTGATATACTGGCATAGGCGTTAAATAAAACGATAGTTGCCAATACTATTCTGACTTATGTTTGTAACGCCGTTATCTCTTTCTTCCAGCCTAGTCGTTAGCTTACACAGATCTTACAGGGTGAGTTAACACATACAATAACCAAACAAAAATTCTCTAGAAAAAAAGAAAATAAATGTAAGTTTGATGTTGTGAAGATTTCGATACCATCAAAAAGGCTTTGGATATCGTTGTCAACTAGAAATGTCATCACAACAGTGTAGGAGATGATCATGTTGTAAATTATATTTGTTTTTAACATACTAAGAACTGCGTATTTTATAACTGATGGTAATAAACTTTGATTATATATATAATATTTATTATTCATAAAAAATGTTATGTTGAAGTGCAAAAATATAAGCTAGTGCCAACTACAAAGTACAAAGTGGGTCTTAGTGCAAACTGCAAAGGTATTAAAAAACTACAAAGCGATAAATTTACTTTAAACCAAAACACTTCTATGTAAATTGCTTGTAACTGTCTACGGAAAAAAATATTACCTATAAAATACTATCATTTACAACAAGTTTAAGTTATGTTACTTTACATAAGACGTTACTTCCCTTTTAAAATTAGATGTCTCTTCAGATGTGTTGTCTTCTCCCCTATCTGACTAAGTCTGAAACCAGCGGCAACCCCTTAATTTAGACTGACTTATCTGTTGCAGATTTTTAAGATAATATGTCTGAAGTCATTTGTTGTAATCCAAATCTTAGAGTATAAAACTAAGTTGTCATAACGGAGCAAAACGAATAAATAATGAACAGTACGCATATAAAGTTTTGATACCTAATGACTTCAGAACATAAACCAAAATTAAAAATTTGACATGCCGCAATAGAGTAATTATTTATGGTGTAATGAGCTACCAAATCCAAAAAACACTAACTTCGAATTACCGTTATAAAAACGATTAATGTTTGTTCACATAATGTGCGATAAAATATAGAAAATAAAATTAATATGACTCAGTATTGATTTCATACGTTGCTTGAAATCAAATTTTACAATTTAAAGTCTTTCTGCTAACTAATTAAGTAGTAATTTTTCTAGTGCATACTATTTATGTACAGTAGTGACGTTTAAATTTATAAATAAAAATCGTACATACAAGGTACATCGTACTTCAAAAGGTTAAAACTTAAAAGTAAAAAAAGTTCAACCTTGTCAAAATAGAGAACATGGTTTTTCTTGAAAGTGATTTTATTACTTTCAGACATAAAAAAATTTCTATAAACCACAAACTGCCTTCCACGACATTAAGCTCTATTTTTTTAGTATTTATTTATTGAATTTAAAAAAAAGGTTTTATCTTTAGTAAAAGAAGACTATCAATGTAGTTTAATAATTGAAAGTAAACAAGACGCCAGTATGTTATACATTTGTCTGGTTTAAACATAGAAAAAGTCAATAACGTAGGTAGACCGTTGCAATAAAAGGGGAAAATTCAGGGGGTCCGCCTATGATTTTGTAATGGATTTTGGAAATTTGGGATATTGGTTTTATTTTTTTTTTAACTTGCAGAGGAGCTAAGGGGGATTTGTCTTCCCCTGCCCCTCCCTATGGGCGCCTTTGACCGTTGAATCGTAAAAATGACAAAAATCACACAAGGAATGTATTGAAAACAAACTATTATAAATTACAAGTACATTGTTTTCCTAATTTTACATTGCGAATATATTTTATTATATGAAATAAATTTTTAATTGTTAAAATGGGACACAAATCTAAAATGATAAGGTCTTTTAGTAAAACTAAGTCCAAGTCCAAGAGTTACCACCTCTTTAAAGAAAAGGGTTTGTGATATTTGTTTGGTTTATCGATAAAACTTTATCTTAAGAATTCCATATTAATTTATAACTAATTCGACTTTTTTTTAAAACAGTAATTTTAAGTTGGAAAATATGTAAATTTTTCTTGATTGGGAAGGGGTGAAATTTTAAAAATTGTTAACCTTTCAGGTACAATTTCTGATGTAATGAGGTCCTACATGAAGAAATCGGGTCAGCTGTTAGTGAATATCGCGAGTTTCGGCACAAAAAACACAAAATTAAAAATGTTAAAAAAAATTTAATTTTAATAAATAAAAGCAATGACCTTCTTAGCTGAAATACTATTATCAGATTACTAGAAAATAATGATTTTTTAATAACGAATTATATTAGTTTGGAAAAATTTGCTTAATAATTGTCATTTTGTTTGTTTTTTCAAGGCTATACAAATGGGATTGGTGTACGCTAAGGATAAGAATGGCATGAATATATTAGAGTCTTCACATTGTACTCTAGTCAACAAATTACCATTTGCATTCGAACTATCGTCGGTGGTTTTCTTCCTTGCGCCTTGGACACTTATCGTAGTCTTATACATTCTTATTGGCTTGAAGCTGTATAAATCCAAGAGAGATTCCAACAGGACAACTTGTGTTGCCCGATGTCGTCACACCGAATGTGTGAGTTCTACCAATGCCAGGGCTACCGGGCGTGTAGTAAAAATGTTAGGTAAGTAAATTCATAGTATTGTAACAAACAATAGAAAACCATATTTTAGGCAATGTGTTAAAATTAACAGCTCTAACTTTTTAAAAAAATAATTAACAGCAAGTGATAAGAGACAAATGAAATTGTCACAAACCAAAAATAAGGTTCACTAAGTTATGCACAGTTTCGCATTTGGTAGTTATAGGTAAAAAATGTAATAGGCTTAACTTCTAAAATGCGTTTCTACTTACAATAATTATCAAAAATATATATATAAAATAAAAGTTTTATTTTTTTATTTCGACAAAAAGAAAGTTATCTGAAATCGACTTTTATGTTTTTCATTTTTATTTTGAGCTTCATGCGTTTTTCTTTAGTGTGTATTAGTCTTCTTATTAATACATTTTAAATCATTCTGATACATGGGCTCTTTTCACTTCAATCAATCCCAAAAAGTTGTTTAGCTTTTTATAACTCATCACTTATTCAGCTCAAATACATTTTTTCTTCACGCTCCTCCAAACTCATAAACTACCTATTTATATTCCTTCTTAACTATATATTCTTGTCACGCCACCTAACAGCTATCTCGACGATCTTATTTCCATCACATCAATTCAAATACCATACTCGCGTAACCATTGGCTAGTATCCGTATTGACATGATATACTGTATTATGCCATATCATTTACTAATATGAATAATCTATAAAAAATACTTGGTTACCTCTGCATTAAATTCGGCCGTTTTGTAAATAGGCACATCAAATGTACGAATTGTAAGTATTTAGAATATACTTTTTTATTAAATTAGTCATCGTTACAATACTTATTATGGGTGATTTTAGATTTCATTAAATTTTTTTCAGCACATAAATGAAAATTACAAAATGTATTTCAGGTATACATTATCATATTATTTTATAGTTTAAATACCAAAAGTTAAGTATTTTGTCCATTTTTGTAAATATAATGTTCTATGCAGAACGCAATAAAAAAGCCTTAACAATGTTTTTAAAACAATAATATTTTTTTGCTATACAGGTAATAAATAATACAAAGGACTAATGTAGTGTGACATGTTTGTCTATTACCTAATAAATACCTCGGGAAAAAATCGTGTGCGACTCAAACAAAGGCGACACGCAGTACGCACAAACGAAAACCTCTAAAACTTATTCCTTTTCGTGGAAGTCGCTCCGAAACTCACGTTTTGGACCACCAGGTCGTTACTGGCTGATAAAAAGAAAAACCGAAAATCGTAAATTTTTTTAGGTCGTTGTTTCGACGGGTTTGTCGTCGTAAACGGTACACAAATATACATAAAAGGATAGGCTTTTAATATGGATGCTAAAAAAACGAAGCCGTTATTCCCAGTGCAACGAAAGCGACGCCGTATTCTATTTTGATTATTTACCAAATTAATTTTTACTGATACGCGACGACATTCGTAATTATAGATCCGAACAGTGGGCGTTACAAAAACAGCTTGTTATTATTTAGCTTGTACCTACGTTGATGTTATTTATATTTGGAAAAATATGACATTTGTGAAATGTAGACTCCCACATGGGCCACGTACATTGTTCTTCTTCGCTGCTACATTTTATCATGCCATAATAATATTATGCAAGATGGAAATTTTGTTATAGCAGCACTGAAACGATGATGAATGATCGGAGATCTATAAAATGGTACTTTCCTGTCGTTGAATTGTAAAATATTAAAATTAATTTTCATTTATTTCATTCGTATTTTCCATTAATGTTGGATACCGACTACAGAGACCACATCGATCAATGGCGCTTTTATTACGTGCAAAAGTGAAGACGTATCCCAATGCTTTACCTTTTTTATGAGTTTTTTACCGTGACAAAAAACTTAGAATTTGTCAATTGTCAGAATAGCAATGCCATTATAGGTGATCCGATGACAGGATGCTAGAAAACTAGGCCTGTTGTTTTTAAAGATATACCGAAAGCCGGCCTTGTTTCATATTCCATAAAATGCCTAAGGTAAAACCAATCCCATTCGAATTTTGATCAACATTTTTCTTTACTTCTGAAACTTATTCGTCTCGTGCTGAATTGAATTTTCTTTTCAAAAATTACAACGGTTAAGTCTTTTATAAAACTCATTTTATCTCTAATTTATAAGTACCTATTTGTTTAAATGTTCTTTGGTTTGTTTTTTTTATCTCTAAAAGCTTGAACCACAATAGTTAATAGCCTAATATTGTTTGCTTTTTCTCGAACAAATATATTTAAACGCTAGCAAAATCGACTTTCTGTAAAACTGCATTTATGTAATCTCCGGCAATGAGATAAAATGTACAGTGTTAGCTCTGACAAAATAAAGTATAATGATCGCACCAATGGAATTATGAGAACATGATTTTTTAAATGAATGGGTGTATATTATCTTGTAAGACAATTGCGAAATCGAGTTCATGTTGTTTGGATTTTTCTTAAGATAATGTGTAGAAGTTTTAGTTAGATGTTTCTTTATTCCATCAGTTTTGTCTTTTGATGCGTTTTTATTGTTTTTTTTTTTTATAATTTCGTAAAAATCGTATACGAAGTTAATCTGCATACTTGTTGGCTATATTGTGGAACTCTTTATTGCAACCTTGTCTGAATTCTGGTAGACTGTCACCTATTATATTTTTATGAACTGGAATCTAAAGTAACACGACGATAGTTTTTTTATGTAGTGTAAGTGTATACGGGTGTAGTGAATATTAATGAAATCGATTTACATATTGTCTTTTACTATTTGTTTAATAACAATAAAATATATAGCTGTTAAATGCTACATAAAGCGTTCTCCTTAAATTTATGGACATTCTACATAATCCATTTTACAACACTATTTATATATAACTTGGCATTAGACCTAATGACGCAGAATCCAATGGACACTATTTAAATTTAATCGGATGAATGGGCCGAAAAGAAAATATTTACTACACTGTTAAGAAATTGGCTTAGTGGCACAAATAATTATTATATGAAACATTATGTGAAATTGTTTACTTCGTCCCAGAGGTATTATCACGCTAAACTGAACATTTATAACATGTGTAAGGGGTTTAAAATAAACCAACGAACAGAATTGATCAACATTTAATTAAATGGCATTGGGTAAACAGTGCTTTTATTACAATAATATAATTACCAATTTTAGAACGGGGAAATTTAAAATAACATTATTTTAACAAATAATCAGTTAAATAAAAAAAATTAGAATAATGCTTAACTCTGTCTATAAATACAGTCGACCCGTAAAGTATCTAAAATGGAAAACAACCTACTCGCCGCGTTTGACACTTTCTGACACTCTATTTCTTCATGTATATTCTTTCTTGCCCTTTATATTAATAATCGCTTCATTAACCACAATTTAATCATTTCCTATATTGTCGTCTCCGTTTTGGTAACAATCTTCTTCCAGGTATAGAAGCTTAATCCTATCATTGTATTTCTATTCGTTAATAATTAATTAATCGAATAATATTATTCGAATAACACAATTATTTAAGTAAATATGTATTTATAAAAAATCATATTTATGTGATGATTACTAGATGTACGTATTTTTATTTATTCTTTCATTATAAACTCATTTTTTATTTTAATCTGTATTCCAATACAATTTTTCCAACGCTGGCCACGGTCCTGCTTATATAGTTAACAAAAAGTTTCTAAACCCGCATTATAGACTACATTATACAATACAATGCACATACAATATGCATTGAACTTAAATAATTCTGTGTTTCAGTCGTTGTAGTAGTAGCGTTTTTTGTTTGCTGGGCACCATTCCAAGCGCAAAGGCTATTGGCTGTTTACGGTAATGCACAAGAGGAAGAGTCAAAACAAATTTTCCAGTTGTTGACATATGTGTCTGGAATTTTTTACTACTTGTCAGCCACCATCAACCCACTCCTGTATAATCTCATGTCATACAAATTCAGAACAGCTTTCAAGGTAAATCTAAGTAAATCAACTAATATTGTTAAACTAATTTTATGCGTATTATGTTGTAACTGCCATATTAACATTTTGGCAATGTAAATTATTCTCAGACAACATACGAATTATCTAATGTATTTAAGCATTTAACATAGTACTTAATATATGATTAATTATATGTTTTAGTCAGCTGCAAAAGTTAGAAAATTTAAACATTTATAAAACAAACGATAACTCCTTTGTATTTTTTACTAAGAGAAAAAATAACAATAAATGTATAGTTATTAAAATATATATAAATATATAGAAATACGGTTTACACGTTTTTCACTAAATTTCGATGTAAGGTGTCGTGTTGAATGAAACCTAATTAAACTCATAATAACTATCTTTAAAGTGCCACCAAGTTCTGTTTCTTGAGAAATTCCCAGGTATTTTGATGAACATCCACCGATGCCGAGGGCTATACAATTAACACGTTGCTTCAACACAAGTTTTTGATTTTCATTTCTCGATACCGAATAATTATTATCAAACACGCTTCACTTCTGTGTATAAATGAAACACGTCTTTGTCACCTCCTACTGCATATTACTTTTCTATATTCTGTATCAAACGTTTGAATATGTACAAAGAGAAACAACTTCAAACGGAATAGTTCCACTTCTCATAACAGAAATATTGCTGCTTTACGATTTCAGGAAACATGGCGGTCTTGTAAAGGAGCCAGCGGTATGAGTCCAGATCACGGAATGCCAAACTTAGATTACAAATGGCAAAGACGGAACAGTCATAGTAGAAGTTTCAGCAGTAGTCACTTCGACGAGGTAAAATACAAATTCATTAGAATATTGTAATATATATATACATATTTAATTAGTTTATATAAGACATTGTGTGTTAAAGCTTACATGAATTGAAATATTATGGGGATAATTTTCGGATGTATCCATGTCTTAAGGTTTTATGCTGACGTTTCAGACTATTTTTTTTTTTGTATTAAGCATCTGGTTCCAATGTGCATTAAAAACGATTTTTGCTGTAAAATGTTGACAGGCAAACTCCATGAAACGGTTGATGGCCATGAACAACAAAACGTGTCCCCCCACGGCTATTACAGTAACCAAGTCCGAAGGGTCTACCGGCGAATGCGGTAAAAGCATCATCAAACCCATACGGTTTTCACGCAAAGCCATCTTCCGAAAACAAAACGCCATCAAAGAAGACATGATACTGGAAAACAGCATTTTATCCGACGACAGCGTTCTGACAAACAACAACAGGACACCGACGACCGCGTTGTTGATGACGCCCAATTGATGATAATAATAATTGTGATGTAATATAATTATTATTGTTATTATATTTTGTCAATAGTGTTTCTATTCCTTTTTTGGAAAAAACGTCCACGAGATAACACGGACAACACGGCATAAACACTATTGTAATAATATATTGATATACTTGGATTCTACACACAGCTGTGGATAAATAACTTTGGTTATGGTTATAAATTATATTATATTGTGTTTATACACGCTTTTGCATTACTCATGGTAAAAAAGTGTACGTTTACAGAACCATTTAAATATTATCTTTTGCGGCTCAGGTATTTTTTTAATTTATGTAACTGAGCACCACACGCGCTCAGTTACATAACTTTTCTGTGTGTTTGTCCTGTTTTGGATCCCTCACATTATCTCGTGAACAATTCAAATAATAGGAATTTGTCACTTTTCCAAATATTTAAATGTATACATATATATATATATTTTTTTTAGACATCTCCCTCGAATTACATCGAATACTCGCTCTCTTTATTATATTTATTTATGGAGTGTATTGTAAATAACAAAACTTAGATTATTTTCGTTGCTTATTGAATTTTATATTAAAAAAAAAAATTATAATAAAAAAATATAATATGTATATATAAGAGGCTTTTTTACTGTGGTCACTTGTTAACTGCAGCTACCACTTCTATTTCCACTTTGGCACCCTAGAAAAATATAAAACACATACCCACAACAATTAATCGTCGAGATATATAATCGCTACATAATTTTATGCCTGATGTGTCACAAATTAACTCGAATAGTTTTACATTGATCACAGCCGGCAACAGGATAATAGAACTTAGAAGTAAATAATTATTATACATGTACATGTATATATATATTCCAGTTACAAATGTATCATAATATCAATATTAAATCTTAAAACGAATTTTGTTTATTTAAGTGGTTTTTCTTCCTATTTTATACTTACCAAAGGGAGACTGGCAACTTGAAACATAGCTCTGGCCGGATACGGTGCGACGAAAACTGTTGGAAGGGTAAAATAAAAAAGACAGAGTTATTGTTTTTAATCAGTACTTAGTGCTATCTGTTTTGAAATTCAAATGAGTGCGCATAATTACATTGTTTGTAAATCTCGTTTACCGTCGGCCCATCTTTTATGTCAGCCAAAAGAACTGTGGTCTTAACAACTGAAAATAGTAAATATAAAAACAATAAATATATATTTGCCTGTAAATGGTGTAATAAATACAATATATATATATATATACAGGTATATAGAAAATTAGGCAAATTTTTACTCCTGTGTTGCCACTAGAAATAAAATGTTCTTTTATTTTTATCACAGTGTACTCAAAACGCTTAAATCGGTCTCCTCTGTTTAATTCAAACTTGCCAATTCAATATTTACTTAAAAAATTATACCAACGACCAAATTCGATGATATCTATATAAATACCAGAAGCATTTTTATTCAAACAATAATAGATAACTATACCTACCTATGAAGACGTTTAATATACTTAACAAAAATAAAAGAGTTAATAACTTTAAAGGCCTATGCTCAGTACTGGTGCCTTAAGTGCCTAATCAGTCAAATATTTAGTTTATAAAACCGATTAAAATAGACAACACACGGAGCAATGCCTTATACATTTGTGACGCTTTCGTCTTTCCGGATAGAGTATAAATTTATAAATGTGCTAATAAGAAATAACAGAAGAATCGTTATAAGGCAAATAATTGAAGAATAGCATAACATCCTATTATGATATTATAGGATGGGTTATTATTAATATAAAAACGAAAACGACTCGTGCTCTTTAGTTATAACGATAAGTTATTGAATAATAATGGTAAGTTCGAACTCGAAGTACATTTAATGTGCCTAGTGTATATGTATGTTAATATGTGTTATTCGATTATACAAATAACATAATAACAAATCAAAAAATACATTTATATTTTATGACTCAATACATCATTATTTATTGAAACTTTTCAAATAACACGAACGAACACAAGACTTCATTTATAAATATATATAAATTGATAATGATATAAGAAAAAAAATAATCTTGTACAAATAAAACGCTATGCTTAAAAAAAATCCTGATAAATGGTAATTAAATAGATAAATTCTATAGGTAATATTATTTTTGTATTTTTCGAAAGAGAATTATCGAATTTACTGGTGATATTTTTTTTTTGTTAAAATATATTTACCTTGCACCCGGATTCGATATCAAACGGTTCTATTTGTTATGAACAACTCAACATAGGTACGGTATCCGATTACAAAATATACTTTTTTATTTCAAAACGGAAATACGAGAAATACATGATGGTAACAGTGTTAATAATAGCTATACTTTAAAAAAAAAAAATCAATATAAAATTATGTGATTGATTAAAACGAATTGTACGGAAATGTGTGTTAGTGAATTTTTTTTTATTGCTCCCAAAATGAGCTTGTAAAGTGATTCAACATAATGCAACAATGGCGACAACTGCTACGAACAGTGAATCTACAGCCGTTGCATAAATAATAGTTTGCCATGAAATGTTTGAGGGTAAAGCTATGAGTTTTCTTCTTGGTACTCATTTCAAACAGACAGCGCGGCGCCTAAGTAGGTTTTATGTCTATCCCAGATATATTTGTGCTAGTCCAAACAATATGCAAGGCTCTTAAAGTAAATATTTGGCAAGGTAACTTTTTGCATTTTTCCAAATCCACAGCGAATATGATATAGACTATGTGAGGAACGGTTTTTTCTACGGAATATCCACCGAATACACACACACACACACATTAGTATTCTAGCAGAAAACCGGAGGGTTTATCGAGAAATTGTAATGAATAAATACATATTTATTTGGAAACGTTATATTTAATTCGTTCTAAACTGACTTTATCTGCGAAACGATAGCGCAAAATGCCATATCGACGTAGCGACGTTGAACCCAGATAAACCAACCCGTTTAAGAGCCATATAACCTACTTATAAATTATTTGCAGCAGGTGCGTATCATTCGGTGCCATTCGTTTTGAACAGAATAAAACGAAGGATAAGTTTACGATTCCCGCGGGTGGCAATCCCTTGTATTTTAGAAACAATTTTTTGTTTCATAAACTATTAAGTACAACTGTGCTCTCAGACAGTAGCGCAAACCACATTATTATTTAAAATTTTAATAAACTCATTTCTATGTCCCGTTTAGCTCAAATTTTACCTTGCATATTCGACTAGAGTACATTGGTAATAAGTAATAACATAATGTTGGGTAAATTATATAATGTGATTCATGTTTAATGATCACGGTAAATAAATGTTATCAGTAATTTTAAAAGTAGATTAATGCAATCATTTATAAGCAAATGAGTCATATGGTACGATTATAATAATAATTTATTCGTTATTATGATTAAACTTATAATTACAAGTTACATTATTTTTAACTAGCAATAACTAATCACAAGAACTTTCCTTTGCTTTGTGGAATCTGTCCAAAAGCTGAAGGTCTGCGAAAAAATATCGATAACAAGGTTAGAACTCAATTGCAAACTTTTTTAGAAATAAAAAGCTAGATGTGTACGAGGTGGTGCATTGTGGAGATAGTGGTGGATATAAGAGAACAGTCCACACTGTTTCGTTTTATTGATATAAAAAAAAAAGTTGTATCTAGATATAATTAAGGAGACGTCAGATATAGGTATAATACGATATCAGTTTTACTCTTAATCGTCTTGTTACTTATGTAATTATGTTTCATGAAACATAAGGGTTTTATCCCTCTGTCATTTTTTGTTAAATAAATTAGTTATAACTAAAAAATTAAGAGGTTTAAATATGTATGTAAAATATTTTATAATAAATTATAAACTATTTTTAAGATCAAAATAAATCAGTGTTGTTTTAGATTATTTGCATGTTAATCTGAAAACAAACCTGAGGCAAAAGACGATTGTGAAACCTCTAAGATACGTTGGATGTTCTCCAGAGCTTTAGTGGTTTCAGCACCAGCTCCTCCTTCCACCAACTTGCCCGAACTTGGATCCAGTCCTAAAGATCCTGACACGTACAGTGTATCGCCGTATATGACTGCTTGACTATAAAACAAATAAAAGAAAATGTATTATTTTGTGAAGCATCGAAGATAAAAAACCACACTCTGTTATTTCTGTCACGCGTTTCAAGTATTAGGCAGCTAAAATAAATGGGTATGTTTGAGAATTTGATAAATGCAAAAAACATAAAATTCATAAACTTAATGTTGAAAATATTACACATCTGTTAACCAAACAGATCCGAAAAGTTGCTTAAGAACTTTCAATCTGATTACACACATTCTGTTTCCGGTAGTTGTAAATATTTGTATTTTTACTTTTTCTGTGCTCAAGTTACATACAAAAATAGCCAAAATTATTCATAACACATTTTTTTTGCATTCGATATTATATGTTTACCCGGTCAGCTTTTATTTTAAAAATCTCCTAGTTTGATATTATTATTTTATCTTTAGCAATATTATATTATGTAAGGCTATTTAATTAAGTTCAACAAATGTTTTTACCCTGAAATATTTCGATTAGTGTTAATAACGCCAGCCTATAAGTTTCTGTACATATATTTTGTTTTTATAAGTGTTGAATATTAACAAGTTAAACACTGTATTGATAAACATACCGCTCATCCCAATGGACATTAAATAAATATTTTACTAGAACCAATAAGTTGTATTTACTTATTCGTATAGTATACAGAAAGTATTCAAAGGCAATCTTAAACTTATAGCAAACTTACAAAATGTTAGCAAACAACACATCGCAATAATATACGCAATTATAATATTTTAGGTTTTAAGTCCACAATTAAATTTTCGATTAACTAGGTAAATCTTCCATGCAATCAAAAACGTTTTACTTTGTTTTATAATATATCCATAAAAATTTTAAAAATCATTTTGCATTAAATCAGTATAAATGGATAAAATGAGGACTTCAACTACTTAAATTACAAATTTGATGAACAAGTCTATAAAACAATAATGCTGAAACTTTTTCGCTATTATCTAGGGACATTTTTTGGACTTTCGGCATTGTTTTTTTTTTAGTATTATTATGAATAAGCACATTAATAAGCCAATATCCAAGAAATTGAACCCTTACACTCACAAAAAAAAAGATTTTATAGTAAAACCATAAAAATATTTTAGAATAAAAAAAAAGAACGGTTTTACATACAAAAATGTATGTAGGTCTTTACCCAAGTCAAATAAAACGTGAATGGATGTGGAAAATAAGTATAGAGGTATTTTATGGTAATATGGTAAATTCTCTCACCCTCTAAAACACTACCGTTAATATTAATACAGAATACTGTAGACTACAGGTAAGACTTTAGAGTCTTATTATGTTATGACATGTTGTGTACCTTGTTTACTACATCAGCGGTCACAACTCTCATTTTATAAATCATACACATCATTAATGCAAAAATCACAACAACTTTTTGGTGTATTAATGAAAACCCATTTGCTTAAAAAGTCCTCTTAATAAAAACATTTCGCTATTACAATACACAGTATTCTCTGTTTGAAACTGTCAATCATTTTAAACTATATTTCTTAAGCCTTAAATGATGACTACATGAAATGAGCACATTCAAAATTCTACGTATATACTGATAAGTAAATTTATATAAGTCAATTTTTAATTTATAATGAATAATAAAACACATTTTTTATTTGTGAGAAGTATTATCAAAATAAAATGATTCAAAATAATTCGAGTATGAAGAAATATGATAGGTATGAATTAATAAAGCCAATTTTTTAAATTTATAACACTTAGAACTATAGTAATAACTATATAAATTATCAAATGTGAATTAATGACTACTGTCGTTCTTCTCAAACTAAACGATCTATAAAAAAATATCGGTACAATACAAAATTAGGTTATTTCGAAATTATTGTACTTATTGGGCAGGCTTACGATTGATTTCATGTGTATAGGTAAGCCATTCAATAACAATATAAATGGCAGTAGAGAGGAAGGCGGACTTTTTAAATATGTTATCCCCAAAAAATCGATAAAGTAGTAAAAGAGACAAAAACAAGTTGTAAAATCTTCTTAAAACTTTATACATCAAAACTTTAATATTTATTATTTTATAATCAATTTTGCATACAGTTTTAATAAGAAAATCCAGTATTAAAATTCGCACTTACAGGACAAAAGTTATTTAATTTATTTTATTAATTTGCAGTAGGTTTTAGACTTACAGACCTATCTAACAACATGGAGTTTTAGACATGTATATAGGTTAAACACGAGTAAAAAAAAAAATACTTACTTTTTGAAATGTTTGTTTAAATAATTTTGTTTTTCCTCTGTTTAAGTTTAATAATGTTCCCAGTGTATTATAAAATATAGCCGACCTATTTATTATCCTTTTAAATCAATATTCCTGCAAAAATACTTGTCGGCATATAACTTATTTAATACAATTTTAAATTTTAGTAAAACGACACATAGACTTTCTCTGAAAAAATATTAACCTTTTTTGTCTGATTCATAAAAGTATATTATGTGCATTTTTCTTCGCCAAAACCTTCAAAGAAATCGTAATAAAAAATTAATAATAATTTTTACAGTTTTTGGATTAAAAAAAAAAATAATAAAATACCATTTTGACCACAATTTTAACATTAAGTACTTATATAAATACCCTTAGAATGAGTATTATATTGTGCATTATAGCAAAAAAAGTTATTTTCACGTATTTTTTTTTAATTTGTTTTTAAAATGAAGTAAATTTAAGTTTTGTAATTGACTTTAAAAATAAGTTTTAATGACTAAATCTCACTTCACCTTAATTTTAACATCGAAAAATACAATTACCACCTACCCAAGAAAAATAAAGTTGTAAAATCGTTTAGGATCATAATAGCATTTATTTTAACTTCTTCCTCAAACAGAGTACAAAAGGACCTAATTAAAATCTCAAAATATTAGAGTACTGTTTTTATTTGATTGAAAATGATTTGCTGACACAAATCCAAACAATGTTGGTTTTTTAAATTAATTGAATACTTCGCATTATCAAAATGTTTATTCGATTCACATTGCACAGTGTTTAAATTATAAATCACTTGTCTTTGTACTTATATAATAGAATTCGTTTTTTTTAAGTCAGTATAATTCACAAATAAGTACTTAAATCAGTAATAATAATTATTGTCCGATTAGTTGACATTTTAAATTGGGTTTACCGTATACGACCGTATACAATATCAGCTTTGAACAAAATAGCATAGTAATTAAATATATACATTATATATTGTATGTAATTACATATTAGATCTACTAAATACTAATTGATAAAAGAATAATGGTTTCGCTCGTTTTTTTTTTTTTTTGTAATTATTGTTCAATTTATAATATTATAATTTAAAAACGCCCATTGTTACATAATGAGTCTTTTTTTTCTTTGTAAAATGAATACACTATACTATTAACTTATTTGCAACATCTTTTTGCAAAAACAAAGTAATTTTTGGTATTAAAAGAGTTTTGCAAGAATTATACTTGTATGATACTATGATAGATTAGAAACGTCTATAAGCTATTAATTTTTAAAAAAATAGTCACTTCTCAAAGTTGAGGACCCACTTAAAAGTAGAGGTTATTTTTTGAAATGCTCGTTTCAAATAGGATACTACTGTCCCAAGGGATAATAGTTGTAAATATGATTCTAATGCATCATTGTTTTGAACAGTGTAATATTTTGACACCATAAATGTGTTGAATAAGCAGTGTAATATCTTTAGTCATATCATACATAATTATAAGTAGGGTCAACGGATGTTCATGAAAACAATGAAATGAAGTAAACTGAGCGGAGTAGTTGAAATCGTATCTTCGAAACTAAAAAAAATAATTTAACGCTAAATTTTAGATTTTCATTTAATTTACTAATATTAGGAGGATATACCATCTCCCAGTTTCCTTTTGTACAAAAAATTTCTATTAAAAATGTACATTGGTATTTAGTATAAAAGTTGTAAGTATAAAAATATTTTTGTAAGCGTAAAAGTTTTGGATAAATGTTGCAACAAATTTAAAATTGTATTAAATTATATTATATTTAACAAATAAATGCAAGGAAAACTATATTTGGATTGCCTTTTTTTTATCTCATCAAACATGTTTTGATAAAAAGCAAAACTTTGAAATTGTACTCTAAATGCATTTTTCTCATTGAAAATTTCAAAACAACAAACTATAATATAATTTATTAAACAGACAGCAAAAATTATGGTGCGCCTTTTTTTTTTGGTCTGGTCATGGGGCAAAACTTATGTAAGAGAATTAGAGGGGGGCAGTAAACAGTCTCACCAAAATTGTTAGTCCCTTTCCTGTTGAAATAGCGACTCTGTTCCGCCCACGAACGTTGTTTTGTAGTAAAAACGATATTTTTTAGTAACTCGTAAAAATCTTAAAGTCGTGTAAAAGTAATTTTTAACTTTCCCACTCGTCAACTTTGCTGTTCAGTGTTAATTCATATAAAATGTTTTCGCAAAGCTTCCATTGATATAGTTACCTAGCTAGCACTGTACCGTATGGATTCTCAAGTTGAACTAAGTTGTTTTTATCTTTAGGTCAAACGTAAAATTAACTCTTTAGGCTATTATTCTATGCTACCTAAAAAAAAAAATTGCACCTTATCTTTTCCTTTTTTTTTTCGCCAACACGCTGGCGAGTAAAGGTATTCGAAATTTGTTTACAACGACAAATATTATATTTTATTCACCTGTAAGCTCCCACGGGTTTTGGTGCCAACACCGTGGACACGTGTGATAAGTTGCTCATGTTAGCAGCAGTCGATGTAGCCTGTAGTAGATGAAGATTTTGACCGTGGCAATGCTTAAGTACAGCTATTCGCGTTGACGTTACCGCGCGGCCTGCCAGTCTGCTAATGACGACAGACATGCCAGTGGCAAACCGACTATACCTAATAACAGTATAATACCGATATCGCGTTTATTCGTTAACAATAATTGTTATAATATAATATGTTAAGTATTAATCGGTTGCACATTAGTCTTGGCCGGCCGGCTTATCGCAAAGACGAGACCGAGTCGGAGAAACGGTATTTTACGAATCTTATCAACGGCGAGTGGTAATAATATGTAAGTTTTAATATTGTAGTAGTGCATTTGATTCCACACACACCACACAGACACTCTACTCGTTCATGTATGAACGTTTCGATTAATACACACTCTCGACAAGGGCCAACGAGGTCGAATTTCGGTGTCAAAATAATAATATAGGTATACCTCTACACTACTGAACAACATGAACGGCATATTGAGTGGGACTTCCTATATTTTATCCCGTATGACAGCTGATTTTGCAGTACCCGCGTGTGTTATATATTTTACGGTTTACATTTCCATATGAATACCAATTTAATTACTACTATTATTCGCATATTATATTATTACTATTGTACATAACCGCAAAGCAGAGATTATCCGCGGTGTATGAATTTATTTACCTACGTTTAATCCCCGGTAGCGGCGTCTGACGTTTTTCCCGACGGGGCTCATGCAAAACCGAGTAAAAATTGTCGGTATAAATATCAATTTTTAATTAAAGACATTTTAAAAGAAAACTCAAGATGACAAGTCGTTTAATTTATTGACGAGGTAAGACAGGGAAAGTAAATCCGGTGTGTAACAGTGTGAGCAGATACAAATAACATTTCTCTACCTCGCCTACACTTAAACGCTAAAAACTCAGAATTCAAAACCTCTGCAATCGAAATGTTGGAAAAATCCGAAAATTTTTATCTATAATTGTGTAGGTATATTAACATACCAAAGAGACATCTGTTGACTGTTAGGTACGAAATATATTAAATATATGTATACCAATACAGTATTTATGTATAACATCAATTTTTTATTTTTATAACGCATCTAGGCTTATATCTATGTAAAATCTCAAACAAAAAGAGTTTGTTTACAAAGGGTTTTTTTTGAAAAATATTTTGCAGCGAAAATTACTAAACAAAATACAATTACAAATAAATTACAAATACTTTTGAAAAGTACAATATTCATTCCAATCTAAAAATCTACAACTTGTTTCCTAATAACATACTCAGAAAACGTATCTACAGACTACATGTAGTTAAACTGTTCGTCTTTAATTTTACTCAGTTAAGTATATAATGAAACAGATCAGTTTCCCGGAAAAGCGCGCCTCCCAAGACACAAAATAGATAGTCCGAGTAGTTTTTTTTCCTATTTCTGAAAAACAAATTACAATGAGCTGTTTATAAGTTAAACCAAAATTTCCACGAGAGTGAATCCGTCAACAAATAAATATACTTATACGTAATACCTAATCATATTACACTGCCAATGTACAAGATAAATTATATCGTTTTAACTACTTTCACAGTTATTCATATCGCAGTAACTATACTAAATGTCATAATTTTTTGTACATTTTATCATTTTATTTTATTGTGTCTTGAACTGGTATTAACTCTGGATTTTTCAAATAAAATCCGTATATTTTTTTATTGCCGAAACATGTTTTGTGACCATAACCATAATAATGATCAATATCCGATTTCCAGCCATATTCGTCCACAGTTCTTTTATAGCGATTAGATGTTTTTGACAAGAGGAGTAATGCGTCTTAGAAGCTGATACAAAAGACTAACAGTCTATACCTTTATGACTTTATCATTAATAACAATGCCTATATTATACAGTTTCTTTCAATTTTCGCTTATTATAATTAAAATTCCAAGTGAAGCTTTAGTCATCAACTATCCAAATACTCAAGCCAATTAGAAGCATAACTAAAAATTGTAAAATCAACGTAGATAAAGTTCAATTTTTGAATATAATGGGAACAGATAGGGCCGGGTAGGTCAAAATTAACGATTCGACGCAAAATTGTAGTTGGGCACATACTATAGATTATAAATATAAACATTTTATAGACAATAAATAATAATTGGTGTCGTATGAATTTTGGAATTTTTCTCGTTAAAAAGGTGACTAAACTTTCAATTTTTTTTATAATTTGTTACCGATTTTTATTTTACATAATACTTCCAAGTTGTCAATAACCTACTAAAAATGTTATCTAATCAATTGGAAATTTAAAATTATTGTAAAAATACTAATCAATTATTTTCAAAAAGAGAATTTAACTAAAAAACTAATTGTTCAAAAAAAAAAAATTAATATTAACAATAATCGCAGTAAGTGAATAAGTGAATTCAACTACAAAAAAAACCATATAAAATAGTATTATAGTAACAGTATTAAATTTATTAAACTAATGTGTTTGTATAATTGTGTTATCATGAAATTTCGTAAGTGTCTCCAAAAGAAAATCCAGTGGCAATCAACTAAGTCATAATTATTAGGAAGGAGAGAGAAAGGAGGAGTTAATACTATGTTATCTGGAATAAAATATATTAGTAGTGATTTACTAAACATATTAACCAGACTACTTCAACAATATAATATATAGATTGCAATGTAACAAAATATAATATATTATATTAAAAAATGTAAAATACAAAATATATAATAATAATATAACTATTAAAAATGATTTGTTACATACATTTTTTTTTTAAATAATGCTTTTACAACAAAATAGACATTAATTAAAGTAATTAATGTTTAATTAGGTGGTTACTTGAACAAAATTTGATAGGGATATTTTTCTCCAGTTAATTTTCAGAAATATATATATTAATTATATAAAATTATAAAGATAAAACAAAAACAATTTTAACAAAATAGGACAATTAGTTAATATTCAAGACTCAATTCATAAACATACAAACAATCATATAAAAATAGGTAATATCATTATTGTTATAATTATTTATTGGATAATTCATTATAAAAATATAATTATAAGCTCTCATAAAAAAAAATGTCACCCGGGTGTAATAAATAATATGTAATAATATAATCTAAATACATAACTAACAAAATAGTGTAGACATTTTCGAAATCTGAATTTAAACGTCATAAAAATATAATTTAACGAGTTTTTACTATCTGTTCATTAATTATTTTAATCATCAAATGTTAATTTGAATAACAACATAATATATCTCCCAAAAGTTTTAGTAGATAATTGAGGATTACAAATTACCAAGTTATTTTATTACACTACTGGCATAAAATCAATTTTGTTCTAATATGGTGATATCATTATATTTAATACATAGTAAAATGAAAAAAAGAAATTTTGGTAATTTAATTAATTTATCATAGTAGTTATACACTCAAATATTAATTATGGGGTTGAAATCAAATCTCCTGTTAAACGTACCATGAGTTGTTTCTAGCAAATTAGATACTTTTTGAGGCATTTCGATCATGTTTATTTTTAACGTCGTCTCGATAATAGTTTTACTCATTGTTTCCTGTTCAGTCACCAAGTTTATCACTTTTATCTTACGGCCAAAATGTCTGAGAATCTTTTGCACATAGTCTTTGGCGTTGTTAGGGAGATCATAATTAATAACCCACATCACGTTCTTGAAATCTTCACCCTTAATCAAATTGGTCGTAATCAACACGTTACTAGAACCGCAACAAAATTGCCGTAGAATGAGCTGACGTTGTTGTGCATTCATATCGCTGTTAACGACAGAAACCTTATACATTTTCATTCGCATTTTCTCCGCTAACGATCGGCATTTATCGTAACCCTTACAATAAACCACAGTGTTTTTCAAGTTAAGAACTTCGTATAGTTCGCTTAATGCTTCAAATTTCCAATTTTCCGGCACATAAAAATAATACTGAAGAATATCTGTAAAATAAAAAAATTATTATGAAGAATAAAAGAACTCAATCAACATAAACATATTTAGTTTACATTATTTTTGTTTGCTTAACAATGCGTTTCTCTAATTTTGGTAAAATTAGTTATTTTATCAAAATAACCACAATTATTTTATAATTATAAAGTTAATAAAAAAATAAATAATAATGACATATTAATAATTATTATTGATGTTTAGAAAAAAATAATGTACTACTATAATGTAATATATTAATAATGTGGGTACTATTTACACAAAACATTTTACAAATAAGTTAAAGCTTTAGTACATCATGATTAATCAATGAATCAAGGAGTCCCAAAATATTTTTTTTTTGTGAAAAATCTGTTTTTTTTTATTGTTAACTACTATTTATTGAAGCAATTTCTTTGTATTTATTACATTGATGATAGTAATTATTTTCTCAGAGTAACTTAATTATTTTGAAAAATAACTCATTATATTAATGTTATTTTGTTGTAAGCTGTAAATTGAATTATTAGGAAAAATTAGTTGAGCACTTCCAAAAGTTCACATCTACACTAACAAACCACAAACATCAACGCTTTCGGACGTTTTAGTGATCTAACAATATCTGATATTTTGTAAAACCTTATAATACGTCAACCTAAGTCAACCCTGGCCATTATAAAAATAATTTTCTATTTAAATATAAAAGATTGATAATTATAAAAAAAACATTGTAAAACATAGGTTATTTTAAACAGCCAAAAAAGGATTAGGTTAATAATATTTAAATAAAATATTATTTGAAGTGCTAAATACAAATGTGTAAAATAAAACCTCATATTAAATTTCGGCATTTTCCACTTAAATAACACAAGTATTTAATGCATCAAGTACTTTTTATTTGATTTATATTTTAATTTACTATAATAAAGTAACTGAAATTATTTATTCTTTGTACTTTTAAATAATTAATTTTTATTGCAGTTACAAATAACCTGTTAATTCAAATAAAAATGTATTTAATTTTATTTATTCAATAATACTTTTATTTTAATTATTATTTCCCATTTTTTTTAACCTCAATAATAAATTATCTTATAAGAACCTGGAATCTAAACAAATGATCTCAATTTTTCTCAAATAAAAATCGTTAAGTTTTTTTAAACTGGTAGACTTCACTGATTTTTAATTAAATAAAAAAGCCATATATATGACGTGTATTAATATATTTTTTTTTATGCTAGGTAGGCTTAACTTAAGAAAAATTGGTCTCTAGAACTTTTCTTGTTGCATTTTTGGGTTTTAGCTCAATAGTGTAGATGTGGCTCAACTCAATGTTGACCAGATTCACTAATTATCTATGCCTATTACAAGCAGCTAAATTTCTTACATAATGTCAAGACTAAAAGTCAAACCTATTTTATAAAAATGAATATGCTTGTTTCATATTATACACACCGGCTAAAGAGGGTTTTTCATCAGGTGCGAGAAAATTTACTGCATTAGACATTTTATCAGAAAAATGATCCAAAACCGCTTCTAATTTGGATGTAGACAAAATAATAAGCTGTCTATCGCTGTTGAGAAATAGTAGTATACGCCTTATTTGACTCCAAAAACCGTTACAGTCCAACATATCGTCTACGTCGTCCACAGCGAGTATTTTAATGAACCGACTGTTCAATGAATCACAATCTATCATTTCACACAAGTCTTGGGGTGTACTTATAACTACATGTGGTACTGGAGCGACTTTTTTTGGTACATTTTTACTGCCTATACACGTAAACACTTTTAAGAACCTTCCGAGCGATTTGATCATCTGAAAAATTATTAAATTTTCAATAAGTTTAGATTGCGGAAAATAAATTAATATAAGTATTTAAATAACTTCTATTAAATAATAATGATAATACCTTTTGTGTGGATAATGCTAACTCTTTGGTCGGAACTAAAATGACAGCTTGACATTCTTTTAATTGGGTATCAATTCTTTGTAGAACAGATATCAGACACATGATCGACTTACCCATACACGGGTAAGCTTCTACGACAATGTCACATCCTGCGATACATTGTGGCATACATAACTGTTGAAGCATCGACGGAGCCTGGAAGCCGCTCCAAAAGATACCGTGTAATAATTCAATACTTAGATTAAAATTTTTAAACTTATATTGTGTTTTTTGCTCGTTTAAATGAATAAATTCTTTAACATTAGGGACTGTTGATTCTGTAAATTTAATATTCGAAAAATGAAAATTGATATCAGTGTTTGTTATATTATTTACTGCACTAAAAGGCGTATTGTCATTATCTTTTCTACTTTTTAATGTATCTGTCAAACTAATACTATTAGTGACATTTTTATTTCGGTCTTCTCGATTACTATCGTTTGACGTATGTTTAGTTCTGCAAGGTAAATTTTCCACATCTTTACCAGTAAATTTAATCATATCCTTATTAGTACATTCAACCATTTGTTTAAATGCTGATAAATTCAATTTTGACAGAGAGAAATCTACCTAAAAAATTACAAACACATAATATTTAAACCTTTTTTAAATTATGGTGCTTAGTAGTTATGTTCCAATTGACGTTAAAAATCTATTTCTCCAAAACTTATATCTTTTGTATTTTTCAAAGAATAATAAAGACATTGGAAAAACTGTTGGACATTTATGCATTTTTTGAGCTTAGTTGCGTTGTACTATCTGAACTAGATAAATTGTGACATCAACATGTTTAAAAAAAAATTGTCCATTTTAATGGACTGTCAGTCTGAAAGGGTTAAAACATATTATAATACAATTTATAGCGGTTTAAACTATATTTTACTTTATCTGAATTCTCCTGTTGTAATAAATTCATGGATATTCTGGGCTCATCCGCATTTGTGTCTGAACTTGATAAATAATGGTCAACGTTCAAAATTGAATTAGTTGACGATTCCCATTCACAATTTTGGTTATCGACAATAGGAAGTTGTTCTTTTTTATTATATGTTTCTTTATTTGATAAATGTATTTGATTAATATTTGTTCCGGTTTCGTTTTTTTGTTGTTTGGATGTAGACGTGCAATGCTGAATACAAATATTTATACTTATAAATACATATTAAAGTTTTGTTTCAATATTTTAGATTACTAACTTCAGATATCTGATCAGTTTTGTTAGGTATATTTTCCACATGAACCATAGATTTAAATACATCATCAGTACATTCAATTTCCTTTTGAAACGATACATCCAATTTTAATATAGAATTTTCCTAAAAATTAAAACGCAAACAAACAAAAAATAAATATATAAGCTTCATTTTCCCATTTTAATAAATAATACATTTTTTTAAATGAGAGTTTTCGCATCTACCAAAAATGTAATATTGCAATAAACTTTTATAAAACAAAAGTATATTTTATATTAACTAAAATCTAAGTGACATATCCAAAAATATTTTTTAATAATTATTATATCAATAACAAATTGTATGTATTACTTATAAAACATAAAAAACCTGAGCATTTTTAAGTTATACATAAATATTTAAAGAATTATTTTAAATACATTTTTACATAGTACTTCACATAATTATTTATTTGAACTATTATTTAAATAAGCTTTTATTTCAATTATCATTTCCATTTATATTGAAATGAAAAGTTATTTATTTGTAAAATTGAAAATTAATTTTATTATTTTTTTATTCTTTAGTTAAATTAATTTTAATAAAAATTGATTTAAAAATATTAATTCAAATAGAAATAAAAATGTATTTGTTGTGTTTATACTGAAAAGGCTTGTTTTTAATTACTTCAGGTTTTGACAATATTTATTTTTTTCTAGTAATACTATAAAAAAAATGTTTAACATACATAACTTTGTTGATTACTAACTTTAGAAATCTGTTGAGTTTCGTTAGGTAAATTTTCCACAAAAACGATAGATTTAAATACATCTTCAGTACATTTTATTTCTTGTCCAGTTGAATCATTTAATTTTAAAGGAGAGCTATCCTGAAAAAGTACAAACAAATATGTTAGTATGTTTATTTAAACAATTTTATTTGGACTTAATAGAATACATTTTTTTAATCACAATTATAGTTACTTTATCTAAATTATCTTGTTTTATGATTTCTGAAGAATTACTGTGTTCATCGGAGTTGTCATACAAATTTATTGAACTTTTTTCAGCTTTAATATAAGAATTGGTTGATGATTCTGATTCATATTTATTGTCATTACAATCAACAGGCAATTGTTCTTTTTTATTGTTAGCCTCTTCATTTGGTTTGTCAATTTCAATAGAATTTGTTTCATTTTTTACTGAATCATGTGCAGATGCAAAACACTGAAAAAATGTATTATATTAAAAAAAATACAAACATTTTACAATTTGTTTTCAAAATGTTAAAAGTATAAGAAACCTCATTAGAGCAATTTTCAATATCTTGTTTACTTATTACACCAAATGATTCTAGCAATTGTTCACTTTTACTACTCGTACAGAGAGACTCAACTGAACCGATACAATTTGATTGTACCCACGAATTTGTGTTTTTCATACGATCATACATTTCTGGAATTCTTTCAGCATTTGTAATTAAAGTTTGATGCAAATCCAAGTGTGTATTAGTTGCTAGATTGAGTGCATCATTATACAACACTTTTTTTGTATTGTCGTTTTTAGAGTTATCAGCTAAAATCTCTTCATTTGTAATAACGTCATATTGCGATAAAACTCTTATACTTCCTTCTGTGCCAAAGTCACTTAATGAGCCAATTGTATTGGTAGCAAATTCACTACAAGTCTCATTAGTTATTTCTAAGATTTTCTTCGTTTCTGTATTCCAATTATTTTTAGTAGAATTTTCAATTTCTTTCTGAAATATCTTTTTTAAATATTCCAATGGTTTAATTTCAATTTTCAATTTTTCTATCTCTTTTTCTAATGACAATAACAATTGCTCTTTTTTTTCTAATTCAGATATTTTTGATTTAAGTTTTTCGATAGACAAACATTCCTTGAGCACAGTCACTCGTTCTTGCAATACCTTATTGTGCTCATTTAACTCGACGATTAACTTTTGTAGGTGATTTTGAGAAGTAGTAAATAAATCCAAATTCGTTTCCATTTTATGCTATGTTACTGTATATGTTGCTTACCAGTATATTTAGCAAATTTTCTGAAACATATATAAACCAAAAAGTTGTAAAATATATAAACAAATGTTACTTGTGTATTATACAAACACCCGGTAGTTTTTGTTATATCAGAGGGTAATTAGATAAAATAATTCACACCACACATTAATACAGTTACTAAATATGAAGTGATTATTTACCCTACCCCCAACGTATACTTGCATCGGCCCCTCTATAGGAAGGCAGGTCACCAAGTGTTTTGGTACTCGCCGCCGCTTCGCTCCGCTAAACTAAAAATATCCTAGTTTTGCAGGCTAGTCTAGGATGAGGTCACAGGTTTAAAGTTAAGTCAAGTTAAACCTATTACTTTACTTATAAATATGCATAATAGTTTTAACTTAAACTTAAGATTATTAGAAAAATGTCCTATACTAAATTCATTAATAAAAAGGTTTTATGACATCATCTTAACACTTTTATAAATAATAAAAAAATGTATTTAGTAAAAAAACACCCAATTCTTGTTTTTCCTATACTCGACTATTGAAACAATTAAACAGCGTTACAACAGTTGTATTGTAAAATATTTATTTAGATTATTATTAATAGTTCTACTCTGAAAAAATGCAAAACACCCAACAAAAAATTATTGACTTCCTAAATTCTTAAGCGACTCAAACTTTTCTACAGAAATATTTCATAAGAGTAAGCCTAAAAATGTAATTGAATATTAAGTTAAAGCAATATGATTAGGGATATGCCTAATGTACTACGTAGTAGTTATTTTGCTATTAAATAAATAAAAGTACCTGCAAGTTTCTTAGAGTGAATAATTCATTTCCAATGGTTATTATGCAACTCTCCTCAGTTGCCAAGACATTCTATAATAATAGTTGAACCTTTTAAAAAAACTGCAATGGTCAAATTTAATTGAAAAAAAAAATGTACCGTATATTTGCGAAAAGCGTAGACGTATACTTAATTACACGTCTTCGAAGTTCGGTAGTCACAATTCTGGTCTTCAGAATTTTGAGACTGATCTATGACCCTTGTAATTAGTAATTACTAATTTGTATCAGGTTTCGTCAAATTTGATATTATTATTTTATTATACTAAATCGTGTCCGGCATGGGGTAGAAAATGACAAAATATACAGGTATGTCGGCAACCTGTGATCCGCAAAATGGCTGCCGGCTTCCGCGGGCGGCCGTTTATTTCTTACGAGAGGAAACCGGCATTGTACCGCCATATTGCAATGTAATTGATAACACAAGCAGCCGACATACCTATTTATTTTGTCATGAGGCACAATTCTGTTTTTAAATTATCGCGATAAGTGACATGTATCAGGTGGGGTGCCCTTGGCGTAAAGTCGTACTTTATTTTGTGTATTTTTTTTACAATTTACGCAGTAATGAAATGAAAAGCGGTTATCATCCAAACATCGAAATCTACGTCGTAGTTCGTAGGATAATGATAAAAGAAACCTGATCATGACTCACGTTACATCGCAGATTGTTATTACTGCTTATTATTTCGTATTTGAGTAAATTTACCCACCTCTCATTACGTACCTTATACCTACCTATGTAGTTCTGAGTTCATTCCTTTGTCTGTCCAAGAGCACTTTGCCGGTTGACGCCGTTAACAGTGTTTAAAAGTTAAATATTTGCACTGTACATCCGATTTGAACTGGTAAGAAAAATATGTACAATAACTTTTAGGTATAATATAGTTACGACCAAGGGCCTGGATAAAGTTTTCGACGAAAATCACATTTTACTAGCTACTAAAAAATAATTGTTTTCCAGAATTGTATCATCATTTTACACATTTAAAAAATAAACAAATTAAATTTTCGTTTAGAGAAGTAACTTTTTTGTAGGTAGCGAGTAAAATTTGATTTTTGTTAGTAATTTTGTTACAACATTATATACCACCATTTTTTTATGTCAAAAACATTAAATAGCCCAGATCAATTTCTAGCGTAATTCATATTTTACTCCCATTTAACTAATTTTTTTTTCTGAATCGGCAAACAAAATGAACATGAAGTTTTAAACAAATTTGTTTTGGCTGGCGAGGGGAGATTTTATATTGATAAACTATATTAAAATTACCTGTATTCAACAAAACTATAATAAGTGAAATAAATAGTTTAGAAGTAATTTAGAACAGAAATCAGGTATTTAAAAAGAAAACTGAAATCATACACGCTATTGAAATCATTATACTATGGTAATAGTTTTTTTTTACTATAGTATCTGGAAATTATAAGTCTTTATGATATAGTTATCTCTTATGAATAAAGTGCTCATCGACATTTGGTATTTTTGACCAGTGTTCTAGATAAAGTTTCAAACAAATTAAAAATTTTACCTCCAATTAAAAATTATATTCTCCAGAACAAATAAAATCTATTTTTTTCGATCAAATTTCAGAGAGAAGAAATTTGACTGAAATTAAGCTTCAAACCTTTTTTTTTTTTTTATTGTGATAAATAAATGGTTGTCTGATACAGAAAAACATCTAATTTTTCTATAATATATTTAATAAATGTATGATTTGTTATTTTTAGAAATACTCTTAACTGAAAATTGGTGTTTTCAAATATGGATCAGAAAGTTGATCAAAATAGACTTGAAGAACAAGTCAAAAAGTTACTAGCTGAAAAAGAGTTGCTTCAAAAGCAAGTTAACGTGCTCAATGAGTGTTTATCTATCGATGAGTTGAAGGCTAAAATATCTGATCTTGAAGTTAAAAAAAAATCGTTGTTGTCGTTTGAAAATGTAATAGTACAACTTCGAGCTGAAGTTGAACCATTGAACTACTTAAAGGCACTTTTAAATGACAAATTGGCAAAGGCAAATAAAGGTCCTACTGAATTAACAAAGGCGGTTTTACAATATGCTGAATCGTTAGAATTTAACGATAATTTATCTAAAGAAGAAATAATATTATCAAGATGTAGTGGCCATGATGAACTTGAGAAGCCTGGAAGTGTTAATAGCTTACCTGTCACACCTAATTCTACTAATACGCTAAAAGGGAATGAAGAAAGCTTAGACGGGAGCATTCAGCTTTTGGATCAATACGATGTAGTCACTGAAGAAGATATGTTCAACTTTTTTTCTGAGGTTAGTATACTGTTTAAATATTTAGCCTGTATTGTGATTAGGTTAAGCGTCAAGAAAAATCAAAAGGGCTTAGTTAAAAATTTTAATCCATATATATATTTATATTATATATTTGTGATTCCCTTTTTTTTATTTTACAGGAAAATGCTTCAAAAGCTGAAACTACAGTTTTTGTACAAAATTCTAATGTGATATCAAGCACTGACTCTCATAACTCACATTTGGAAGAAGTAATGTTTAATGAATTGTATTATAAATAACGGTGTTTCTGAGCCTCTTGAGTTCCAAATGTGGAACCGGATTCAGGACGGTGTGTTATCTGTTACCCCGCCAGCACCTTAAGGCAGGTGTAGAGCAGCTATATATGTTGGTAGATAATGATAACTGACATTCTGGATCCACATTTGATTCCATTCCATCTAGTGGCAGAGACACTATGGTAAAATAATTGCAAATGGTATAATTTTATAATTTTTGTTTTTCTGACTTAGGAAAATTCAAAAATCCCTATTGAATGTAGCAAACCGAGTACATCTAATTTTCAAAATATACCATGTGCAGAATTAAATAATCAGTCGCTACAATTATCTAAACAAAAAGAAGATTCCACTTCAACACAGGTTTGTTAAATAGTTAAAAATTAAAATGAGTAAAATTCATTTTTACAGATGACGACTAACATATGGTGATATATTTAAATCAGACCTGGGCATTATAAAAATTCTAGCAAATACTTTTTTTTTCTTGAACAGAATCAAATAAATGCAATTTTAATTATTATCTCATTTTTTTTATTTTAACACAAATTAAAAACAATTATAGAAAATAGTTATTTATTAAATACCTAATAAATCAATACTTTTTTATTTAAAATAACAAGTTATTTGAATAAGTCTGTTAAAAATGTAATTTAATTATTTTATATTGTTTTAAATATTACATTATTTCATTTAGTTTATCAATGAAAAATGTATAAATTTATTTCAATTACAAAATTTGCTCCACCTAACCAATTTATTTTTATATTTCTCATTGAATAAGACGAAAAATGACTAACCATGGAAATTTCTTACAGTCCTGTGCAATTTCTTCTTAGATGTGTTTCACTGTATTTTATAATATTATAATATTTTCCTATAATTTTATCAATTATAACTCGATAGATCTGTTAGTATAAACTTTTAATTTTAAATAATGCAACAATTAAAGGCAAAATAAAGGAATGAAATATTTTTGTTGTAGATCATTAACGATGAAACATTTGAAGAACAATTAAGCAGTCAAGCGGGATCTGATACAAGTAATGACAAAAAAGCCCACATCGAAACATTTAATTTAATAGAGTGGACCAATAACTTGAACTACATGGATCTCAAACTTGACATTTTACGTGGAATTTACTCGCTGGGTTCTTTGAATCCGACTAGCTTACAGCAAAATTTCATTCAACACTGCATTAAAGGCCAAGATATTATAATATATTTTAAAGCCAATCGCGAGTGGCAAGCGATAATGTCCATTCCTGTACTTCAACGTGTCATCACAGAGCTGAAAGAGTGCCAAGCTCTTATTTTAGTTCCCACTAGGGAAATTGCTGTACAAATTGAAAAGGTATTATTAACTTATTTATTTTAGAAAGAAAATAGACAATTACTCATTTATCTGTATTTAAAATCGGTTTATAAAATAAAGATACTTTTACAACACTAACTGGACCCCAAATAAAGCAAAAGGAATTGTGGCCTTCAATCGACCTTTTGAATCCGTTATTGCTCTTAAAAATATTCATAAGTTAACAATGCTAGAACGGAACTAAACTACTATCATCTTATGTTGAAGTTCAAAATCTATTCTTTTGTTTAAAGTATAAAATTATATTGAGGTCAATAAATTTGTAAACTTCTACATTTTTTTAAAAATAAATCTAAGATGTTTTTTTTTTTTTAATATTGACTCCCGCAACAAACAGATTTTATCCATAAAATGAATTTGTCTAAACATTTTAAATACTTTAATAAATATTTAACACTATTTTGAAAAACAAATTCCATTTTTTGTGTATTTCTGAAAAATGTATTTTATTTTAAAATATATACCATAAAACCATCTTTATATTTTCAGCTGTAACTGGATATTTTGTTATTCTAGAAATTCATATATTTTTATTTTAAAACTATATATTTAATAAGACAAGCGATTCATTTTTTAATGTAGGCTAGCTGATATTACTGGAATTTTGGGCTGACACATAAGTAAATAATTTAAAAAACTTGATTTAATTCGAATTGATAATCACAATCTTATTTTGATATAATTTTATTTCAGATAAAACCGTTTTATTATCTCTAATTTACTACAACAATTCGAAGTTAAGTTTAATATAAAAGAGTGATATTTTAAACGGTTGAAACAATTTCAAGTTCTGATTTTAAATATTAGAAATACGATTAAAAGTATTTAGCACAAGAAAATGAAAATTCATTTCTAAAACCAATTACAAATACAAAAGTAAAATATGTTCTTAAAAGTACTGTAATTCAAATATTGTCCATTTCTGACAATGAAAAAAAATATCAGTTCATTTTTTTTTTTTTTTGTTCAACTACTATTTTTGTTAGTATTTAGCATAACATAAATTAGTTTTATGACTAAATTAATATTTTCACTTTATAATGTAATGTATGTATAAAAGCTAATTTCCTTACATTATTATTTTTTATTTAAATACAACATAATAATTTTTAGAAATTTAAAAACTAAATAATGTATAATATAATGACGTTACAAACATTATGAACATAAAAATATTCAAAATTAGGTACCTTGATACTCATTTTTATTGACGACAAATTGTTTTTTTAATTTTAAATCTGTGTTTAATACATAATTTGTTTTTCAGGTCATAAATGATTTAAGCGAGTTTATGGACTTGACGCTATGTATCGGAGGTGACAATGTACCGCGAAAACTATCTGTTATCCCACACATTGTTATCGGCACACCGGCGGGCATTTCAAATATGATTGCGTGTAATTCGTTAAGCACTCAGTTTATAAGCACGGTTATGATGTATCAGATAGACGAAATGTTGCCATATTATGTTGTTATTGAAGAGGTTATGCAAAAACTCAAGGTGATAAAAAAACAAATCACTTTGTTGGCTTCAGACAAAGTAGATCAAATAATGGATGTGTCCGTCGTTTTCTTACAAGACCCGTTAATTTTTCTTAACGAAGATGAGAGGAAAGAAGAAAAAATAGCTGGTATACTCGAATCTGCACACATTTTATAAATCAGTAAAAAAACTTAAATTATTTATCTTATATTATATATAGGCCTATTACCTAATCAATTTATCATGGGTGTATTGGAGGAGTTTAAATTTTCTGTCGTTTGTGGAATAATATGTAATGAGTTGGAACGAGAATCGGTCATAATATATTGTAATACCTTTGACAAAGCCCAATGGATGTATGAAAATATGCTGAAAATAGGTCTGACTGTATCTACTTTTGATTTAAAAATGAACGAATATGAGCGCAATAAAAAACTTACACGCTATTTAAAACGTCAACTACGTGTACTCATTGTTGCTGATCCAATAAAAAGCATTTGTTTTCCAAAAATGTTGCCCAGAAACATTGTAATAAACTATGAATTGCCTGCCGACCCGAGAGTTTACACCAATAGAATAATCAATTTTACAACCGTAATAAATTTCATTGGCGAGAATGACGAAACGGCAAAAATGACTATTGACAAATATTGTAAAAGCCTGATGAGACCGATGCCTTTGGACTTGACAGAAATATTTAATGTATAATTTGCTGTTACTATTTTTTTTTTTTTTTTAATGTATTACTATTCTATTTTATGGTGTTTTTTTTATATATATATTTTTTACTTTGTCATTTTAAGATATGGGATTTATTTTGTTATAATTCTTTATTAGAATTACTACCTAAAGCAAATGTTCGGCAACTACCGAACTACCGTATCTTTCCTTTTATAATATGTGATCTATTATTACTCGAATATAATTATATTATGTTTTTAGTTCTATATTTGTGATAAATAAAAATACAACTACATATGTTACTTTCAACTCGGCGCTTTTTTTATAAGTGAAAAATATTATCAAGCTGTAATTTTTATATGTATAATATTTTATAATTGGTAGCTGCGGTCTATGCATGTAACTGCTGACCGTGAGGTAATGGGATGAATCATTTGTTGAGTCGGCAAGTTCAGTAAAGATAAATAATATTGATATTCACACATACTGTTTGCACAGTTGACAAACAGCCATTCATTAAATGACCGGAAACTAGACTTGGTCCTGGGGAAAATTTTTGATTTATATTCAAGACAGCCTCATAATTAAAAACAATAAACTATTTTATTAAAAACAAGAGGCGGACTAGATAAAAAAGGTCTACAGATATCCAAGGAATAGTCTATACATAAATCATAATCAATTGTGTTATAAAAAATGCCTACGTAATTGGTTCAAAAATAATAATCAGTGTTGTTACCATGGGCCACTTAATACTCATAGGGTTTAATAAGAAATTAAAATGTTTTTTATCATAGTGTTTTTATACAATGTATACATTTTATTAGCTTTTTAAATTGAGAATAATGTACTAAACATTTTAACTGGTCGATAACCAGTTTTGGATAACTGTTTTTGAAGTTATTTTTATTTTGTTTGTTAAGATTTATTTAAAAAAAATTGTGAAAAATTAATACCACATTGTATAAAAACAAACATGAAAAAAAATGTAATTTCTTATTAAACGCTATGAGATATTGAGTGGCCCACGATAAAAATAATCACTGTATATATATATATACAATAATTGATCGATTAGTTATGAATTTAAATGAAAAAACTAGTTTACATTGAACTTTATAGAAATGTTGGCTTTATACAACAAATGGAATCAACTGGTACAAATGACATGCGTGACAGTGCTATAAATCTTGTAGAATTATATTCAGAAGATCTAGACAGGCAGTACACTAATAGTGATACTATTTAAGCAATTCTAAATTTTGTTCAACAGAGAAAAAATAATTTTTTATCAAGTTTTTAAAATGTCTCGTCGATTTTCCACTATTGACACTAATGTTGAAATTATAATGCGGATATTTTGTTGAATGGCTACCTACATCTAATTCAAGTGGAGGAAGATTATTTTCCATCAAAAAACGACATCGCTTTCCATATTAAACATAGGAAATGATTCAAAGATTATCTATCAGTTTGTAACCATCAAATCAAGAAAATATTGATATAAAATTATCCAAAGTTTATTTGACAAAATTGTTATTAAAAGAAATCATTATATTCATAAAATATTTGTTGAAGTTTAAACAAAAACCGTCGGCCGGGTCAAATATTGTGTAATGACTTAGTGCATCAGTTGCAACACGGTTTTATAATAATTTGTAAAAAAAAAATTGTATGTTAGGCTCAAATGAGGAACATGCAAATAATTCATTTAGACGGTAGAAAAATGACTAAAAATTATCAAATACCTAAAATTATTTCGAAAAATTCGAAATAAATTTCGCGTTAGATATTTTTATTACTAATTTTGCATTTATGTTAAAACGCGTATGGTATAAAAGTAATAGGAAATAAAATGCAAATGCATCAAGTTCTGAGCCTTATGTAAGTTATGAAATAACATAGGTATAATAACTAATAAAACGATGGAGCGTGAAAGGTAAAACTTTTTTTAATGATAAAAAAACAGCTACAGGAAATATACTTTGGTCCGCTAATATAATTTATTATTATACGTGCTCCGGTCTACGTTTGACCTTGTACGACAGTTGGTTTCAGTTGAGTGCTATCGTGTACGTGCACCTATCGACGGGGAGGGGTGAGGAGAGACATATTGCCCCTCTTGAAACAATAATATGTAAATGTGTAAAAAAAAATAATTAAACCATATTTATAGCCGATTAAAGCCTAACCGTTACAGTTTAATTACCATCGTTGCTTTCTGGAAATATGTGTAAAATTGTATACCAAATTGTGTACCAAGCTGTACAGCATTTTATAGCTGTTAAAAAATTAACAAAATGGTAGGTACGCCGCCAATAAAATTACGGCTTTGTTCGTGTCCAATAATCGCGTTGTACGTGGCTGCGCGTCAGATCTGAGAAAAGCGACTAACGATGAGCCGATTTTTATGCTAATGCGGTTACAGTGTTTCGTCAAATAGGGCAACTATGTACCAGGGTCGCATAACGGCCGGACGCGCACGTTGGCCCCGTCGTTACGCGCGCGGTGCGAGTACATAACGCGACGCGGCCATTGCAACGTAGAATAAGAAAGTACAACCCATGAGCCCCTGGTCGGTCGTTCGTCGGTAGAAACGCTTGCGTTGCCTGGGACGGGATGACTGACAATGTCGAAACGCCTCCCGAGTCCCGTCACCCTTTACGACCTCGGCTTGCACTCTATTCCAATTTCAAACTATCAACTATGACATAAGCCCCGTTTACACTATCACTGTTCTTTTTCGATTTGATAAATATAAAGTTCTAGTTTTTTGGGAAAAAAAATCTAGAAGTTCGAAAATACGACTGCAATAATATACGTACACCATAATCCTGTGCATCAAGGTCAATTAATTTCGTCCATAATTATCAAAAACAAATTTTAATTTTCTATGTAAAAAAATTAAAAATTTCGTTTAGATTTTGATGGAACGTCAATGTTTTTCTAAAAAAAATTGTTTGTATAGTGATTATAGTCAATTATTTTTTTTTATTAATAATTTCGTATTTTTTTTTTAAATCAAAATTAAAATGTATTTTTATTAAGCCAACACTTTAAGTTCAACTTATGAACTTACTGTACATCATACTATATTATAGTACAGTATAATAAACTGAACTATGCATTCATTTATGGTAGATTGATATCGATTAATCGATGTTACAAAGTATTATTGACAAATTACATCAATTTACATAATATTATTGATAGTTGTTAAGTATTACTTGTATTCACTATTTCGTGACTTAATACATTTATTTAGTCATGCATTATTATTTTATAAAATATTGTTAAACAGTTCTATTTTTATCGAAATTAAACACTGAGAAACGAAAATGAAAAAAATACTATATCAACCACTCAATGATTACAATAAATTCAAACTATATAGTCAGTATACTTAGTAATAAGTACCTACACAATATAAATTTATTGGCTCTTAAGTAGAGAATAATCTTCTAAGTACAATATACCTAACTAATGTAGATAATTAATAAAAAACAGATGACGACGGTGTTAACTGCATCATTATCCTTAAAAAATGGTATTTATTACTGTATATTTACAATGGGGTTATAGCGTCACTGAAATAACGTCAACCATTATTTTTACTGCTTCTAAAAAAAGCAACACACTATTTTTTTTTAGCTTCAAAATTTGAGGTTATTGACCTCAATTTAAAACTTAAGTACCAAATAAAAAGTATACGATTATTAAAACGCATGCAACTATCAGTAGGTACATAGTAATTTTTCAACCATGAATTAATTATTTAATTAAAAAAAAAAGTAATTTATTTAAATTTAATATTACATTAATTAATTATGCATAGAATATAGTAGTACAAAGGCGTATAAAATACTTCAACCATTATGGAAACGAAAAATAAACACAACGAATAATATATGATTTATTTAGTTTTGCGCCCAGAATTGGGTTGCCAACAAATTATATAGAATAGTTTAGTATGTTTAATTTGTGTAGATTGTTATAAAGTACAAAAAAAAAAACAATGGTATTAGGGTTATGAATTATGATATTGATCAACTATGCTGAACCATTCTAAAAACGTTAGTTTTATATTAGATCTCATTTCTTGTCGATCTAGGTGCAGTAAGAAATTATTCAATTGAAAAAAAATATATATTTATAAATATTATATTATTAAATGTTTAAGTATAAAAACAAATTATATAATTATTTAAATGTTATGTTTTGTCATTTTTCGAATAAAATACTATTTACATTTTTATTTTAATTAATGGTAGGTACTCGATTTGTTTTAAAGGGTGTCCAAGAATAAGAGTTTTTTTAAAAATGCAATAATTGCATAATATAGTTGTGTTCAGGAGATCTTGAAGTTTACCTATAAAACCCGATGTCGGGCATATGCCCCCCCCCCTACTAGCCCTACAGGCAATTTATCTGTCCATAAAATTTGGATTTATATATTTTTTCTAGATGACCGTATCTAATTCATTTTAAAATAATAACATAGTACATTTAATATTAATAAACTTATTGATTCATCTGTTCGAAATACTGTTTAATTATCAAATATCTAGATTTTTAACACTAAATTACCAGCAGTACTATAAAAGACGAAATACCACGACAGAATAAATGGAATTTCATTTACTCTGTGATACCACAACGAACCTAACCTAACCTTACGAGATAGCCTATGAATATGTTACGATAAATGTTTTAGTTCCTAAAAACGGAAAAGATAAAAGTGGCGCGATTTTAAGTCGCACAACGCGCCACCGGCCACACGTTTCCGACATATTTTGTGATTTGTATTTTGTTTTGTTTATCAACAACGAAACGGACGCGGTAGCGGTACAGTGCTGCCAACCCTCTTAGCTGGGCATTTCATTTGCCGGCAATTATTAATGCGGACGATGCTGTGATTATCGATTGGAAAACCGGTCGCTTATGCGACGCGTGGTCACACTGTTGTCTAACCTAACCAAACGACAAACGCTTGTCGATTACACACGATATAACGTTGCTCTCTCTCTATCCGTCTCTCTCTTTAGATTTCCTCTCGGCAAATCACATGTACTGTAAGCGTTTTCCACATTGTTTAATTGTCATAATGTGTTCTTTGTAGATACATTTATTCGTTTTCCGACTATAATCAGTTATACAGTATGTAAGTACAAGTGCACATTTATTATTAATACTTAGGTCTTGTAAAATCGCTCATGCCGAAACTAGGGTCCTGCGGTTGTCTGAGGCCACATCCATGCGAGTGGCCGTCAACTTGGGTTGCTCGAGGTTTTTGATAAAGCCGGTTTCGGAATATTAGGTGTAGTATTCTGTATAGATCACGGTCTTCTATTTCCTTTAGGACCCTTTTGAAACCGCCAGGTTTAGGAGTTCACGTCGTTGGGTGTTTTATAGGTTAGACGTTTGGGTGAGGCGTTGGGTCAGGCAAGAAACCCGTTGTCCATTCATGGACTTCTGAATGTAGGCTAAATGAATACATTGTGTAACGCATAGATTTCTATGTGCCTTGTTGTATAATTTGTTGTATTGGGCAAGTTGGTTGTCATTGGAATATGGGGGGTTCAAACTTTTCTGGTAGGTAACGGTTTGTGCTTCAAAATTGAAAAAATCTATGTTAAATTGGCCTCTTATACTATGTAGGTTATTTGTAATAACTAATTTTGTTTTAAATCATTTAAATGATAATCTATTATATATCGAGCTTCAATAATAATATTACCTTATTATGATTTTCTGAAAAAGTGGTTAGTTGCATTCACGTTACCTGCATGGGTATGCAGTTACAATACGTTGACCTTTTGGAAATTTGACAGTACCCATTTTTATTTAAATATATAATACCATAAGGTAATTTTTCCATAAAAGTTGCTTAAAACTGTATACTATTATTAACTAAAAAATGAAATTAGGTATGGTTAAATTTTTTACTTTCCACTATTTAATTAAAAAATAATGTGCATGGTTCAAGACTCGAGTATGTAGTTACTGGTTGTAAAAATGAAATATTTCGTATAAAATTCAATAATTGAGCAATCTTTATCTATATTAAGTCGTCTTGTATATTATAGATATTTCAAGCGGGGGAATTTTTTTTTTTAATTCAGTATTAGAATGAGACAGTTTCCATCCTCGTATGGTTTTTTAATATTATATGGCTTATTTTAGGTAGGTATATATTTTTAAAAATAAAATCAAAGTTTATTGTTAGTTAAGTTAATAAATTACAGAAAATTAAAAATAAAAGAATCAAAGTCTATTATTAAATATTCTTACTCTTTGTGTCACTATTGTGACTATTGTTGGTTTGTCAATCTGATATGGTTGACTCTGGTTGTTGGGCGAGAAATCCCTCTATTCAGCAATTAATTAACCTGTCCCGGCACTAAAGTTAAGAAATGTCTTCTATGACAATATTGATAGCCTAAATAGCCGTTAACTAATAATGAATTTTGCCTAAAGAATTTTTTTTTACCATGAATTTCAAACTACAAGTTAATGCTAAATTGTTCCAATTGTTGTAATCGTTTTTGAATAGCAGTTAATTAAAATTTAATCGTTATATTTTAGAATATAATAAATAATGAATGTTAATGAGACGAAGAATGGACCGTCAAGCGAAACCAATGAGTATTCTGGCCCACCCGGCATGGATGTTGGCGGCACAATCGAATCAGATTGGAAGGAGGTCGTGGATAATTTCGATGAGATGAATTTAAAAGAAGAACTATTGCGCGGTATCTACGGTTATGGTTTCGAAAAGCCTTCAGCTATCCAGCAACGCGCCATTTTACCGTGCATCAAGGGACATGATGTCATTGCCCAGGCCCAATCTGGTACTGGTAAGACTGCAACATTCTCGATTTCCATTTTGCAACAGATCGACACTAACTTGAACGAGTGCCAGGCACTCATTTTGGCACCCACCCGTGAATTGGCCCAGCAAATCCAAAAGGTAGTATTTTTTTTTTTATTATTATTAGCAAATTTTTATATAAATTAATTTTATTAAATGTAATAGGTGGTTATTGCTTTGGGAGATTTCATGAAGGCAGACTGTCATGCCTGCATTGGTGGAACTAACGTCCGTGATGACATGCGTAAGCTGGATACCGGATCCCACGTTGTAGTTGGCACGCCCGGTCGTGTTTACGACATGATCGCCAGGAAGTCTCTACGCACACAGTTCATCAAGATCTTTGTGTTGGACGAAGCAGACGAAATGTTGTCTCGTGGTTTCAAAGATCAGATCAAAGAGGTCTTCAAGTTCCTCGAAGAGGATATCCAGGTGATTTTGCTGTCTGCTACCATGCCTGAAGATGTCTTGGAAGTTAGTACACATTTCATGCGTAATCCAGTACGTATTTTGGTGCAAAAGGAGGAACTAACATTGGAAGGTAAACAAATCGAATAACAATGTGGTTGAATTACTTACTACGCTCGATTGTATTTTCAGGTATTAAACAGTTCTATATCAATGTAACAAAAGAAGAATGGAAATTTGACACATTATGCGACTTGTACGATACGCTTAGCATCACCCAGGCTGTGATATTTTGTAACACGCGCCGCAAGGTGGAATGGTTGACAGAAAACATGCGTCTGAAAACATTTACTGTGTCTGCTATGCACGGGGAAATGGACCAGCGTCAGCGGGAGCTTATCATGCGTCAATTCCGTTCTGGATCAAGTCGTGTATTAATTACTACTGATTTGTTAGCTCGAGGAATCGATGTACAGCAGGTATCGTTGGTCATCAACTATGACTTGCCGTCCAATCGCGAAAACTACATACACAGAATCGGTCGTTCAGGCCGTTTCGGTCGTAAGGGTGTTGCCATTAATTTCATCACCGAAGACGACAAAAGGGCCATGAAGGATATTGAATCGTTTTACAACACTCACGTGCTTGAGATGCCACAGAATGTGGCCGATCTGCTGTAGACATGCTTCGTATCTGTGAGTAGTTTACATTTAAACAAAACGAGTGAAAGCACATTCAAACGATACATTTTTTTATATATATATATATAAATAATACTTATATAAAATAGAAAATATTTAAAATTGAAAAATATCCAATATTTTATCTTAAGCAGTTTTTCTTTCCTATTTTTACTGTGTATGATTGCCGCCTAAATATTACAGTTTCGTTTGTCCGATTAACGAAAATAATGAAAAGTGCACATTTTAATACCTGGTATGTTTTGATTTTAAATAAAACTTATTATATAATTATTATAGACTTTGTATTTCCATTAATGATGGTCACATTCCTCTTATGATAAAAAGTTAATATTAATTTTGTTTTCACTAAAAATGGTCTTATTTAAATGGTGTTTATAATAACCTAATGTCTGGTCACATTTAAATGCCCATTGAAGTTTTTCATAAATGTATATACATTTAGTTGCTCATAATTTATGGTCCATAGAATTTTACAAACCATTAAATTTATCAAATTTTCGTGGGACTAAGGTTGTTTCAAGAGGAACGAAAAAACAAATCTTGTTTACGAAAGAAAACAAAGTTTCTTTTCAGGGAAACCTGATGGTAGATACCCCCAAATGGTATTATTTTTTGGTTTAATAAGTACTTTATACTTATAAGCCAATTTTTAATTTCCGTTTTTTAAGTTAAGTTATAAGCAAATATATAAAAAAATTGTTATGGTTTTCTTAATAAATCTTACTAATAAAAAAAATCAGCCTTTTATCTCACATTGAAAAAGTCATTAACTTTTTATAAAAAAATATGTGTCTGGTCAATACGTCCACCAGAAACTAGAAAGCAACTTCCACAGTAGTGATTTTTGATTAAACTCTTGCCATAACTCAAATAAAATTATACTTAAACTTACATTAATTAAAATTAACATAGCACTTACTAGATGAAGTTGATATTCATTTATCTTCAAATAAGTTGGCATGTTTGAAATGGCTCCTACATCAAATAATGTGAAATATTTCCTATATGTAGCTTTTAATAGCTTTTTCCGTTCTATTAAAAATTTCAAGATTATATTCATAAAGTAATATGCAAATAAAAACTTATGTTTTTTCACACATTATCATGAAGACAGTGTGGGAGTAAAATTAAGGGTCTATTCTGTCTGAGAGGACAGGACGTGCCCGAAGATTACAAATTGTAATGCATTAGTATGCAGATTAAAAGAATAAGACAAAAATGAAAAGAAGAGGATGAGGCTCGCCACAAAAACTTGATATTAATGACTGAAATAATGGTATCGCCCACAATTTTCCTGTAAATTTAAAACATATTGCAATTATGGCCTGTTGTAAAAGGAAAAAGTAGCCAAAGTTTATCTTACCGTGGTTATACATTGTTTCTTTTTGGTAGGAAATCCCTAGTTTACATACAAGTTATCTTTAAACAAATTAAAACCTAAACTATCTTATATCACATATTTTTGCCAAACTCCCCCACTTGTTTCTTCTATATTATTCTTTTGGCTTGCAATAAAAAAATTTTTAATAAAAAGTCAAAAATGTATTTTAAGTGTAAAAATGTATTTTCGATCAATGAAAAGGTATCTGGCATTTGGTATTACAGCCATTACTATTGAAACCGTGTCCACACCCAAGCGGTTTTTCCCATCGGCCTGGCTATGTGGTTTTTTTGTGTGCGCTAATCAATAGATAGCCACACAGGGTGGACCCAGCTAAAAAACAAGTTCTAAATAGTAGATAACTCAATATTTTTGCCTATTAAATATATATACATATTATGTTAGTGTTATGATTATATTATTGTTTTATTTTTAATAAAAATGACCTGCCAACTTGTTTAAGTATCACGTGGATATATATATTTTTTAGCGATCGCCTAGCTTCGGCCGCCACTCCGCCCTCGACCGGTTTCAACGTCTTCTCGTCTAGATCTAAAACCAGAAACTACCTACTACAACACGTCTGCGACTACATCCGACTAAAATTAAAAAGTAAAATAATATTAATTTTTTTCTAAATTCTTAATTTTTTTTTTTTTATAAAATTTGTAGTAAATAAATATGTATACAATATGTAAAAATAATTAAAGTTACCTTTGTAAGGAAGCTTTGGAACCAACGAGGAGTTGATTAATTTTCTTACATTCATTGTATTATAATTACAACAATATTTTCTATTGAAGTTATTTTCCTCATCAATAACAATACCATCTGAGTTTACATTTCTTTAATCAACGTCTTATCAAAGTAATATAAATAAATAAAAACAGAAAAAATAAAATTAGATCCTCAATAATTTTTAAGATAAAATTTATAATTAGGTTATAGGTATAATTAGGTTTCATAACGTAACCTAGTTGTTTTTTAGTTTCTAATTTGTGTGTGTGTATTTTCGGTAATAGGAAAAATGTATTCTATTTTTCCACGGTATAGCTTTAATTTTTAGTATTAATATTTTTTAAAGATAATCTATGCGAGGTTTTTTTTTTTCTTACAGTGTGTACTTGTAATAATATTATAAAATTGTATATTTTCATAAGCCTTTCATAAATAATAATAATGTTAACTGAATATTTTTTGTCGTGTTATTGGGGCTTTATTTAGTTGAATATTCAATTTTTTATTCCCTCTAATATATTATGACAGTGAATTTTAAAATCAGCCTTGTCATAATACATTAAACTATAATGGCAAAATAGAATGCAATTCTTTTTTTTTGTTTTTTCACTTTTTATACGATAATTTTTTTTTGTATATATATTTTACAATCATGAAAATCGAGTGTTATTTTTTTAAAAATATTAGTATAAAAAACGTGTATTGTATCTACAGATTATTCAGGTTATACTCCTCGTTCAGTTCTCTATAGAAATAAAACGTCTATCTTTGTATTATCTTCTAATTTATACATTTTATATTTTACTTACGAAACCAGCTAGGGCAAATGAGATGAGCATGTATAAAAAACTACAAACCTAAATAAAAAAAAAAATAATAAAAAATAAAATGATTGTTTTTTTTTTACCTTTTTTTTACTACTGAATTATGTTTCGTTAATCAACAAAAACTGATCAAATTTAAGTAAAAAAAAAACTATTTTATCCAGTGGCTCAAAAAGCTAATTGGTAAGTAAGCAAAGTGAAGTTCTTCCTGAGTGAAGCTCTTTCTGAGGTGTTTATTTTTGAAACTGTACATTTTTTGTTTGCTTATAAGCTAAAGAAACCTAGAGTAATAATAGAAAACAAGGAGGAAAAATAGTGAATCTTTATGTTTATTTTCGTTTAAAATTTCTAAAGCTTTAAAAAACAAATTATTCATTTTTTACTTAGTGTTAATCACTATTGAATTTTTTTAGACATGGTATTGATTTTTTAAATGTATTAGCTTAAGTAAAGTTGAAATACAAAATCCTAAAACTAATTATGTGTTTTGTTTTACATTATCATTTAAAAAAAATATACTTTTTTATGCGAATAACAATTAAAATCGGACGCAAATCTTAAAATACCTATAAGTTTTTAAATTGTATAAAATTTAAAATTAAATTAAACATCAAAACGATCATTTAGATTGTTGCTAAATTTCAGTAAGTTAAATGCAATACGAAAATTTACTGTCAAAATGTTAAAAAAATTCCTTATAGATGGATGATATTTTACAAGCTCTAAAAAAAGTAGTGCTGATTATAGATATTTACAATAAATTAATTACAATCAAGAATAATGATAACTAAATACAAATGTTAAAATTTCAAGTTGAAAAAATCAAAAATATTTTCAAACATTTAAAATTTATTAACATTATATTTTTTTATTAGAATGCTGTATAATAGAATTTAATACTCAAGTTCTACAAAAACATTACACATACAATACAGCTTAAGTTCTTCGTCTTCGTCTCATTATAGAGAAACGCCTTTTATAATTCGCTGAAGCTACTGAAAGTCGAAAGAGTAACCCTATAATCAGTTTTTAATGTCAATTTTCGATTGACCTGAAAATCGATATTCAGCTTATTTCGGCAACACTGTATAAGAAAAATTAGGTTTCAAGAAGTGCCAAATGAACAAAAAAACAATATCAGGATTCGGGTGAGAAGCGGGTTAGGTAGGTACACCGTATAAACTATACAAGAAATTAGAAAAAAAATCAGCCATTTTTCAGCCGAGTCTGCAACCACGATAGAACATTTTCATGTCTCGTTGAAGTACCGAATACATTTAGATTGTTGTGGAATTATAATTTAAAAAAAAAATTACATGGAGCTTCCAGTTACAGCATAAGCCAAGTAGATAAAAAAATGATGTACAATCAAGTTTCTGGCTAAAACTGTAGTGTTTATTATCTGGCCAAAAGTAACTTAACATAGAGAATCAAACTACTTTGAATTTATTATTTAGTTCTAATTTGAACGTTGAACGTACAACATATCTCTTAGCTTCTATATCTTACCCCTATCCCCTACTTACTATCTGCCGTCCCTATCACTACCCCCTACCCCCTATCTCCCACCCATACCACTCACCTCTTAACCCTTCCCCTATCTCTTATCTCATATCAGATAACAGCGTAACACTTTTTTTCGGTTATATACCGGCTAATTCCCCAACCTCATCTTCAACCCCATTTCTTTTTTGGTAACGCTTTTTTCGGTTATGTGCCAGAGCTAAGACATGAAAATGTCAATAACGTTTTCTATATTTTAATAATACTTATACAGCATATTTCGTGTAATATTATTTTAATCGTTTTGTGACCTCGGTGCCTTAGTGTCTTTCATAATGGTGATTATGTATTTTATTAATCTCGTAATGTTTTTTTCCTTAATTAATGGATTGCGCGAAGGCCACGGTTGTGGTGGACATTTGTGGTGACATTTCTTTAGCGTTTGCCTTGTCTTAGTTTGTCGAACGAATTGGTTGATGTTTTCTTTTGGCACTTGTGTCATCTTTGTACGTAAACGTTTGCTGCGGTAAAGAGTAATCTATTGATTAAAACCTCATTGCTGTAAGTCTTGCCCTAGTCATTCGATTAAAGATTTAATCATCTTAAAAGTCTTTGTTATTTAATTTTTTTCTTCTTTTTTTTTTTTTTGCAGCAGCAATTTAATTTCTCCAGATTCCTCTTCGCAAAAATACCGACTAGTACCATCCTCTATTGTCAGAGTTGGCAATTCAAATTTCAACGGGTTTTTTTTTCAATCCCAACAAATGTTTAGTGTTTGCCCAAAATTATGGGGTTTGCAGTGTTTACTGCATCTGCTTACTAGGAACTGATGAATTTTTATTTAAATATATTTTTCCAAAACGAGTGATCTTTTTCATCGGTTTACAAGGAAGACGAACTAAACGATGATCCGTCATAAATTTGTCATCAAATTTTCCGAAAATGATGTCATTAAGCTCGCCAGCGGCTTTCCGCATTATTCCTACCTAACATCTCTATTCATCTAATACTGAGAGTATGAGTGATTATGAGGCGCATTGTATAGGCAATTTTTCGCGTAAACTTAACATTAGCTAACATTTTTAAACACACATATTACCATAGGAAAGAAGTATCTATTTTGATAAGAATTTTTTTTCAACTTTTATAACGCATACAGGATCTATGTTTGTACAAAAATATATGATTTTACTTCAAACGTACTGTTCTTAAGAATACATCGATTTAAGTTTTTAAAAAACATTTGAATTCTTCACAACATTTTCAAGGCATCGGTCGTGGCACAGTTTTAAAACTATTTTCAGTTAATTAATTATTTCAATAAAAAAAAAAATGTAATTTTTAACTTTTTTAAACTGAAATAATTATTTAACTGGAACTAATTTTAAAATTGTGCCAGGACCGATGCCTTGAAAATGTTTTGAAGAACTCAAATATTTTTTCAAATCGGAGTATTCTTAGGAACAGCACGTTTGCATTGGAATGAGTTGTTTTCGACCAAAAATACGCTGGTGTAGAACCCCCTTATGCTCAGAAAATGATTGGTGTTCACCAAAATATATGTGTTTTTTAGGGATTATGTGTACTCGAAAAAGCTTTTGAGGCTTTTGAAAGAAAACCAGGGTTATGGCCAACTCTGCCCACCGTAGTCGTTACACGCACAGCTCGGCTTATGCCGTTTAGTCCACCAGACTCTTCGTTTGGCTGCGCTGCCGGTATGGGCACCGCCGGTCAGGGTTGTCGCGCCGTCCCGCGGTAGGCGGTACGCTGCACCGCCGCGGCCGCGTGCTCCGGCGTTGTTACCGGCTGCCAAGACAGGAACGGCCACACGGATTTTCAGTCCGTCAACCGCCTGTCCGGTCGCCGCACGTCGCTCGCGTTACACCCTTCGTTTGGCCAACACGCGCGCGTCCAAAACCGCCTGGCGATGCGTCCCCGCGGAATGTCGCCCGTTGCTGTCCTGGCCGCCGCCGCCGCCGTAGTGGACATTTCGCGGTCGTACCCAGCGACTTAGGTCCTGACCGGGCCGGGTCTTAACCGCGTTATCTAACAATACAAACACCGGAACGGACCCGACTATATTGTTATTTGCCTTTGCCAATATTATAATATTAATATATTTGGTACACGAGGGGTACACTCTGGTAATTCGGCCTAGACCGTCGTCGCCATGGAGGCCGACCTCCGGATCCTGTTAGTCGTCTGGATACTGTCCACCATGGGAGCGTCGCCCGAACTAGCGTCTGAAGGTAAGGGCGATATTAGCATTATTATTATTACAAAAAAAAAAAAGAAAACGGTTATGGGGATTACAAAATTATTATAACGTTGTTGCGACGTACAGATAAAATTTAATTAAAGGCTTTAACGCGCGGACGAAATGGAATAATAATTAATTTTTTTCACGGCGAAACGCTATAAACAATAATTAACGACAGTTTAAAAAAAAAAAAAATATTTTTCACCCTCCATTAGATATGTTGTTTTATATTATACCTTAACACAACCTTACACTTCTGCGCGGGCGTTAAATATTATAAACCAGTATAGAATTAGGATTTGTGCAACATCAACAAAGAGACGGAGTAAAAAGTATCAAAATATCAATTGATACAATAAACGATAAGTCTCAATCGATTAGATTTATCGATTATCCAAGTTAATAATACACATTTCTATTTGCAAATAAAATTTATAATGCATCAAAAAGTAAATTTATAAGTGTACTATTTTCAGAAGAGGACATTGACACTTAAGTTTAATACATAAGACACAAGTTAGTTGATAGGTACATTTATCAACATCAAAATTAGTTGATACATTGATGCGTTCATCAAGTATCAATAATTATATGAATCGTTATTTTGTTATTACAATTCTTTTTTTTACTGAAAGATACGCTTTATGACAGTAATTATAAAAAAAACTTGATTTATCGATACTTGGTATATTGAGTATTGACACGTGTATGCATCAATAGATACATTATTAAAAATATGTTACTTGATACATTTTTTTGTAGTAAAAAAGATTTTGGTAGTTGGAACCTTTGATACCTTTTTGATTGTGATTTAGGAGTATATCAATATTTCAAATCTATCAATGCAACATGTATATATTCGATAAGAAAAATATTGTGTACCAATATATTAATCCATTCAACGATGAAGCATTTTTTAAGGCCGTTATTTATTTTTATAAATATATGTTCAAAGAAACTTGCAAGACAGACATATTATACTCTTCCTGACCTTCGTTAAAGTATTTTATAGATGACGATTTTTTTTTTGACATGGTAGTCATAGTTACATATTATACTATTTTGTAGTGTAATATATTGTACACAAATACTTCAAAAAACAACTAAAGTGACTTTGATATAAAATAGTAGATACATACTAGTTACAAGTATAAAATATACATAAACATATCATTTCTTAGATTTAACGAATTCAACTTTCTATAAAAGTATTATATAAACAACAATATAATAAACTTTTAAAATTTTATACAAATAATTCCGAAGACTTCTTTATTTTGACGACTTTTGATTTTTTAGTAACTTACTGCATATGAAGTATTAGCAATATACTAATTGTATAGCCTCCACATAATCTCTAATCACTGATTATATTATTTTGTATACTGGACGTTTGTCCTTAACATTCCATTTATTGGTAAAAAGTTTCAATATTTTATTTTATATATAATCTTAATTCTAAGATACAGCGATTTCGGTGTATTATTTCCACTTAAATCCTCTATAAGTTATTAGTCGCCAAAATGTCTTCCAGCTTCTCACCCGCTAAATTATATTTCTTTCGTGATAAATATTTTTTACTGTCCTATTATTTTTAATAAAAAAAAAACACCTTTAAACTTCTCGGCTGTATCAGTTGTAGTACAACATTATAATACAGTACTTCTAAAGTTTTTATTACTTTTCTTGAACTGTAATTTTAGTAATTTAATCTCTTATCGTCGCACTAAGAATCCGTTCGAAGACAAAACTGCTCTCTTTTATGCGATCTAAATTGGTTAATTAGTAAATATTGTGGTTTCTATTATTGCGGACTTTATCTTTTATTTCGATTCTGCAATATTTAGAGAATAGTATTATAATTAAGTTAACCGTTCAATAGTATTCAAATCTTTAATTCCATTCAGAACAACGTTTTAGTATTTTTCTGCTTTAACTTATTGTATTGTGAGTACAACATAAAAAAAAACCCGATAAATATTAATTTTTATTGTTGTATATTTGTGTCTTGTGATATAAAAAAGGCTATTTATATCTCGGAAATACAATTTCTGTGTAATTTATAATAGCACCACAAGAAAAGATAAAATGTATAAAATAACTCGTTATGTCATAATGTCTTGTTAAAACATATTTATCAGATTTAATAATAACAATAATAATAATTGATCATATGAATAATGTTGGTCTGTAGGAGTGTTTTGTCTTAGTTGATATATTGTATAAATACCATAGCAGTAAGCAGATAATATAAATATGTAATATTTAATAATATATTACATACATATGTACACATTTTGTATGCGATATCATATATTTAGTAGACAATTATATACCTGCGTGTAAATACAATACAATATAAAACAAGAACATTGTTGATTGCATATCATTCAGATATATTATATGAACAAGGATAAGAAAGAGGATATACTTATTGTACAATATAATAATGGACTGGTTTATAGGTACTATATCTGGGTAAAATACATGTCATAATTGATTTTATAGAACATTTTATATTATCATACTAGTGTAAATTCAATTAATATGGTATCCGGTATTTTGATAACTGAATTAACAAATAACTTAATTGTACAAATGAAAAATAAAACAATTATTACATGAATTTATAGTTTTACATTTGAGTTTGTGCAAAAATGGGCATTTATCAAGAATTAACAACAATACTACAAATTAATGTATCAAGTATCAATTAACAAGTGGATACATTAACGTGTATAATATATCACTGTTAACTTAGGTATATATTTTAGGGAAAATAAATTTTGTTTACAAAATAACAATTAAAATTTGTGTTGTAGAATTAGTTAATTTTTAATCAAGTTAAAGAAAATTGTTAGTATTTTATGCACTTGATATACATTGATGTATCAAACATTTCTCGATATTAATACATGCGTTTTTTTTTGTGATTGTATAAAACAATCTTTATATCAATTGTCGGCTCTGACTTTGTGAACAATACATACGCTGTACAGTGTTCGCTCTGTGGCTTAGTAAGAGAGATTAAAAATGGACTTGACTCGGAAAAAGTTGTTAATGATAATTTAAGGTCCGGCGGCGTATAGCGAAATTACACGCCATGTGTAGGTTCAAGTGAAAAAAGAGAAGATAAGCCGTACGACGTCAGTATTTAGTATTAAGTATTTTTTTTTGGATTCGTTCTCGCGAAAGTAATGTGTTTTGTGTACTTAAATGATTCGTTTAAATACACAAAAAGCAAAGTGAGTAGTAACCAAATTGAATTTGAATTGCGCGTTTATCGCAAAACAAAACAACACTCGCGAGTTGGCCTGGAGCACAACAATATTTTGAATTGGACGGTGTGCAAACAAAGAGCCCCTATGTTGTGGAAGTCACGAAATAATAGGACGACAACAAATTAAACTCGGCGCTACTTTCTTTCATATATAACTATTATCATTATCGTGTAGGGCGAAAAAAAAAAAAAAAAGTCCTTTTGCCTGTACAATCAAACTTCGCAATCTCGACACCGGAGAGGCTTTTAAGTGGCTTTTTTGAAAACATTCCAAATTAAATTTACCGTACGCCAAGAGTTACACACACACACACCCACGTTGACCCATATAACTACGTGTCGTTCGTTATGTTGTGTGACCCGCGGGGTACGTATACGCGCTTATACAGCTGAAAATTGAAGTCCCAAACACGGGTCGCGTCCATTGTGTGTTTAGACTTACCAAAATTAACCAACGTCCGTTTAGTAGACGCCGGTCGACGCGACGACGCGTTAACCCGTGATTTATTATTGCTTTCGGATTTACTTTTTGTTTTTTTGTTTGTTTATTTTTTTTTTAATTAGTCCGCTGAGCGATAAACCCAGATTCTGGTCCCTTACGCCCCCGAAATCGTCCAAACGCGACTATGGCTAACGCACCCCCCCCCCCCACCCAGGTGAAGGGATTTACGTGTTTTCCCCCTAAATTCGAGTGTAATTACGTCAGGTGGGCAATGGCTGACACCAATGCTATTATAAAGGCACGGCACAACCTTGTTTTATACGCATTAATCACGCAAGACTCTTCTGTTTAGTAAAAGCAGATTTTTGTACATTTTTTTTTTTTTTGTTAAACAAATAAAAAATAACACAGACAAGTTTTTTGGTTTTTTTTTTTTTTTTATCGTTTCCATATTCGAGTTATGTACATACCGAATTAAAACTATACGCGCCCCCACGCTGAGCATAACCTAAGCATTATATTATACTATTACAACAATATCGTTCTAAGCACGATTTTCGTTGTTACTTTTGCCGTTTCGTCTATTAATGCGTTGCAAACGACTTGTGAAACTTTTGAATAGTTAATAACGTAAACGTACGGCAACGGCTCACAATACCGCGTAAACAACACAAGCTGTCACTGTCCAAACATTCAGGTCTCCGATATGACGATATTGTTGTATGAGTTAATGATTTTGCCGGGTAGGTGTTATTTTATCAACATTATTATGTCGTATCTGTGCATTGGACGGGAACAAAAATCACTTTGTTCTACCCAGCGTCGTCGCGAAAAGCCGATAGTAATGTTAGTATGTTGTATGGATTACAAAAAAAATGTAATTCATTGACAAATTGTTAATGATTATTGTAAGATGTCATAAAGAAATTAAATATGTTTTTCTCTTATACAAATACAAGATGCTTAGCACGTGTATTTACATCAAGCGTTTAGTTGATTCTTCTGCTACGCGCCTATCATTTTTACACTAATAAACGAGATTTTAAAATTGTATGGTATTTATTTTTGTGAATTTATCAATATAATATTTCGAAACGATGAAAAATACAGTTAAAATGAGTTTATATGTACTACGAATACGGTCCACGATGATTTTCATCGATATTAAAAATATTAGTAACACTTACAAAAAAATAATGTCGAATGTCCGTCGTATAATTTACAGAATTTAAAAGTTAAATTTTAAAAAAGATAACTCTTCAAGTAT